GGCCTGTCATCTGTTTCTTGCCGTGCAGGAATTCTTTCCAAACATCCTGGAGCATTACCCTGGTGGTTCTTCTGTTCACACCGTCATCCACTATGGGCAGATCATCATCTCTGGTCAGTTCCGATACTTATTTAACGAGGGTTTTCTGCTGGTGTCTGTGTTTAAATATAGAGTACGGGCCACGTCTAGTCACACTCGATCACTGATTTTGGGGACTTAATAATTTCAATATAATATTACTGTTATTATTATTATTGGCAAAAGATATACAAGGAATAGTGAAATGAATAAATTAAAATAATTAATACTAAATATGTTTTTAAAATGAAATGCACAAATACTACATATATTTTTCATTGTATTATATGCAGGTGAGTGTATATACACACTCACCTGCATTTATTTCAATTTTTTTAATAGTTATTGTTCTTGTATTTATTTCATCTCCATGGGTAAGTGTAGAAGAATCCTTCCTCCTTCAGTCATGCGTGTCGTTAAAGGCGACTGAAATGCCGGGAGCAAGGGGCTAGTAGCCCCTTTGTATATTGTACTAAATTTAATAAAGAATACCGAATAGCCGGACTTGAGTCCTGGAAGTGGATAGTATAGGAGTGTGGATGTTGCAGTTCAAACGGGGTTATCAGCACACTTCTGAAAAAACAGTTATTGAATGAATGACGATGAAATTTATATTTTTCGGGCCACCCTACCTTGGGAGACAGCCTGTCAAAAACAAAACAAACAAAAAAAAAAGCACAGCAGCTCTGAAGGAACGTACATTTTGTTGACAAACATTGGTAATAAATTATGTAGATTTAACCTAGGATAGTCCAGCAAAGTCAGCGTGAGATTTTTTGCTTGGGTTTCTTGCTATTATCTTTTCTAAGCGCTGTTTTTCATATTATATATAATATATATATATATATATATATATATATATATATATATATATATATATATATATATATATATATACATGTGTAACATGCAGAACAACCATGGTGAATAGTAAACTTCCAAGTGCTTGATAATGTGAGAAATCACGAAAGTATTTGATAGTTACAATTCTTTTAAGTGGTTGTTCTGCATATTGTAATATCACACACATTCACTCGCAACAATGTGTCTGTGTACATATTTTTCACGCAAAGTTTGATTCTCTTAATAATCTCTCTAAAGTTTCATTGAACTAAGACACATTTCATTCATAGTTTGCACTTTTTCGTTCTTATTCATATCATATTTTTATAAATAGGTTCTATAATTTTTGTTTTGGGCAATAATATATATCTTTAATTTTCACATTTACAGACAACTTCACAAAATACGACTACGGGCTGATTGGCAACTTAAACCATTACGGGCAGGCGAACCCTCCCTTATACGACCTCTCCCGCATCACCGCACCTGTAGGCCTCTTCTGGGCGGACAATGACTGGCTTGGTGACCCTACGGTATGTATGTATGTATGTATGTATATATATATATATATATTTTATATATATATATATAAATATATATATATAATATATATAATATATTTTATATATATAAAATATATATATATAATAATTATAGTCGTCCGAATATGTAAAACGGTCAATTAGCAGAATCATTTAAAATTAGTCCTTTCTAAAATTTTCTCATATACGTTTAACAAAATATTTTTTTTCATAATGATAAGTAAAAATTTATAATTTTGCACCAAAAGAATCTTAGAAAACTTACCTAACCTTATTATAACAAGAACAATTTATTTTAGCCTAACCTAACTAAATATATTTTAGATTTATTTACAATAATTTAAAACTAAACAAACACAGTAAAATATATTTTTTTCGTTAGGTTCAGAATGATTTTGGCGAAATTATTGCATACACAAATTTTCACTTGTCCTATATGGCAAGATGAGCGTTGCTATTTAAGCCAACATCGCAAGTTCTGCCTATTCGGCACGACATATAATATATATATATATATATATATATATATATATATATATATATAATATATATATATATATAATATATATATATAGTTATAGTTATAGTTATTCTTCATTCTCATTTTCTCTTTGTCATTCATTCCCACTGGCAGCTATTTTGGCTAGTTTTTGGTACACGGTGCAAGATTTGTTTACATGGAATGCAAATTACGTATGTCAAAACTACTTGTAAACTAAATACACAAAAATTAGGTTATTGCAACATTATTATAATCAGAACTAAGCGCTAAACCACCAGGGTTCAACAGAGCAGTGTTAATGCAACACTGAATTGAAATTAGCAGACAATCTGCCTTGCTCTCTTTCCTCACTTTGTCGTGTTTTGAATACTTTCCTGTTTTCCGTTGGAAACTCTTTGTCTGGTAAACTTATTTCTAAAATTCATTGTCACACTTGGTTCTGTCGACTTTTCTAATATACCTTCCAGTTTGGCATTAAATTTTCCTTAATCACTTATTTTCTGACTCATTATTATTATTATTATGGGGGAGCGCTAAACCTGTGTTATTATTATTATTATAATCAAAAGAAGCGCTAAACTGCAAGGGTTATACAACGCAGCAGGGCAGGGAAGGATGCAGGGGAAATCTGTGGCAAGAGGGAGAGGGATGATTATTAAGGTATGTAGTGCAGCGGGGCAGTGGATAGTGCAGGGGCAGAGGGCAACAAGAGATTCAAGTAGAAAGGACGGAGGAGAGTGCTAGAGGCATCATCATCAGAGTTTGTCTAGTAAATCATTCGCTGTCAAAATGTCAATGAGAGAGACTGGATTAATGGAGGAGGGTCCATCAGCAAGAAGGGAAGGTACAGAAAGGGCAGCAAAGCAGAGACGACGTTGGAGGTAAATTCTGCGTGCTCGTTGATGGAGTGGACAGTCCAATAGAATGTGGCTAACAGATACTGGAACGTGGCATGAGATACCCGTGAGTAAGAAAAGAGTGGCCGATGCGAAGACAGGAAAGAGTAGTCTCCCAACCCCGACATTGATGACAAGAAGACAACCAGAAACCTATACTCGGTTTAATAGAATGAAGTTTGTTATTGGTTTAATAGAATGAAGTTTGTTATGGAGCAGATCAGACCAACGTTGTTGCCAACGGGTGCAAAGCTAAACCCTAGAGATTATACAGCGCCTGTGAGGGTTGGGAGGGGGATGGAAGGCATTCAGGCTTAATTCAGGGAATTCGAGCACAGATCCAATTCCTAGATCAAGGAACATCTCTTGATTGACTCTTGCCTCAAGATTCCTTAAACATTTAATTATCTTACGGAATCTCTGAGCTCTTGCCTCGAGGCACATTTTATCTGTACCTTACCAACCGCCCTCCCAACACAGATTCCTTCAGTCTTAGAGTGGCCCGGAAGTGGAATGATCTTGATGAAAAAGTGATAAAAAATAGGCTCCAACCTAGTTTTAAGAGCAGTTACGACAGGGTTCATGAGGCTAGGAGGGAGTGAATCTTGCAAGCAGCAAGTTGAGGGGCGGAGCCAGGACTCAACCTCTGCAACCACATATAGGAACATAAGAAAAAAGGAGCACTGCAGCAGGCTTATTGGCCCATGCAAGACAGGTCCATATCAACCCCCGGCTTAGACCAATGACCCACCTAGTCAGGTCACATAGACTTAATTAAGGAAGGAGCACGGCATCAGACCTAGTAGCACAAGCTAGTCTGGTCAAACTCTCACCCACCCACATCCACTCGTGTATTTATCTAACCTATTTTTAAAACTACATAGCATTTTAGCTTCTATGACAGTACTCGGGAGTTTGTTCTACTCATCCACAACTCTATTACCAAACCAGTGCTTTCCTATATCCTTCCTGAATCTGAATTTTTCCAACTTGAAACCATTTCTGATAGTCCTATCTTGGCTAGATATTTTTAGCACCCCATTTCCTGTTTTCCATTTATACAACTCGATCATTTCTCCCCTAATTCTATGCCTTTATAGAGAGTGCAGATTCGGGGCCCTCAGTCTCTCCTCATAGGGAAGATTTCTGATACCTGGGATCAGCTTTGTTATCCTTCTCTGTGCGGTTTCCAATGGATTTATATCTATTCTGTAATACGGTGACCAGAACTGAGCAGCATAATCTAAATGAGGCCTAACCAAGGATATATAGAGTTGAAGAACAACCTGAGAACTTCTATTATTTATACTTCTTGATATGAAGCCAAGGATTCTGTTAGCTTTATTGCAAACACTTATGCACTGTTGTCTTGGTTTCAGATTACTGCTAACCAGAACTCCTAAATCCTTTTCACAATCAGTAATATTCAGATCTACATTATTTAGTTTATATGTGGCATGGTTATTTTCCTATCCAACATTTAGAACTTTGCATTTGTCAAACTGCATCTGCTACTTCGCCGACCATTGCACCAGTTTATTCAAATCATCCTGGAGTGCTCATTAGAATGAATTGGACGGCTTATTTTGGTGTCATCAGCAAATTTGCTTATGTCGCTATTTATTCCCTCATCTATGTTGTTTATGTAAATTGTGAACAACAAGGGGCCCAACACTGACCCCTGTGGAACACCGCTTGTGATGTGCCCCCATTCTGATTTCTCCCCATTTATGTAAACACTCTGCTGCCTATTGTGAACCATGCCTCTACCCAGGAAAAAAATTCTCCTATTCCGTGTGCCTTAGGTTTCCTCAATAGCCTCTGATGTGGAACTCTATTGAAAGCCTTACTGAAGGCCATATACACAATATCATATTCATTACCATGATTACCTCCTCAAACACCTTAGTGAAAAAAGTTAGTAAATTCGTAAGACAGGAACTCCCCTTTGTAAAACCGCTTTGAGATTCATTAATCAATTTATGCCTTTTAAGAGGCTACGAATTGCCTCGGCAATTATTGATTCCATAAATTTTCCCGCTATGGAGGTAAGGCTTGTTGGTCTATAGTTCGAAGCCAAGGACCTGTCACCTGCCTTGTAAATAGGTATCACATTTGCCATTTTTCCACTTACCTGGCACAATGCCAGTTTGTAGTGATATATTAAAAAGATTAGCCAAAAGTCTGCTAAGTTCCTCTTTACATTCCTTTAACACCCTTGCAATTTATCAGGGCCTGGGGATTTGTTAGGTTCTAATTTCTCTATTTGTCTGAGGACCATGTCACTGATTACCCCAATCGTGCATGGTTTATTATCGTCCTGTTCTACATAATTTATTTTTTTCTGGAATTTCGCTAGTATCTTACCGAGTACAAACTGAGAGGAAGAAAATATTCAAAAATTCACACATTTCCTTATCACTGTCAACGATCTGACCTCGGTTACTTCTGACTGGGTGTATCTTGTCCCTAATCTTACTTTTGTATACCTGAAAGATCCCTTTTGGGTTAGTCTTCGAGTCCCTCGTGACCTTAGCCTCATAATCCCTTTTTGCTTTTATTCCTTTTTTTATTTCTTTAATTGAATATATTGATTTCTTAACTGCACATCCCCTCTTTTGATATGCCTATATATGCCTCTCTTTTGACCAGCGAGATGTTTTAATCTGAAAGTTAAGACACATGTGCAACATCTAGATATCTTTATTGTAGACGTTTCGCCATCCAGTGGCTTTATCAATACAGATTCTAGGACATAATTGGAAGACAGTAGAACTATATACAAAAGATGAGGTAATCAGTCCCTCAGCCTTGGAGTTAGTGTTCACAGCATCGTGGTGGAGGAGAATCTGGAGCAAAGGCAAGAAGACTGGCGGTTATATAGGCGTCAGTGGATAAGGACGTGTAGCAGACGAGGGCATAGTCACTGGTAGGCGGGATTCCCCAGTGGAAGTAGGTCCTACTCAAAGGGATGGGTTAGTTGTAGCAGCCGTGAAGGTCTTGTAGATGTCCTCTGAACCAAGATTCCATGATGTTGCAGTGTCTGACACTAATAAAGATATCCAGATGTTGCACATGTGTCTTAACTTTCATATTGTCGGCATTTTATACCTTTCTTGCACAACATGTTTTAATCTGTTGTTCATCCATTTGGGATCATTTTTGTTAGATCTAATTTCCCTACTCGGAACAAAAGTTGTCTGGGCAGCGAGGACTATGCTCTGAAAAACGTCATATTGGCAACGAACACCACCAACCTGTCCCATAGTCAGGTCATCCCAACTTAGCCCCCCCCCCCCCCAGGTAATTTCTCAGTCCTATGAAATCGGCCAAGCGGAAGTCTGGGACAGAGACTTGATTGCAGTCATCTGGGTAATTCCATGATATATTGAAACTAAGTGATTTGTGATTACTTTCCCCAAGCTTATCATTAACCTCAAGATTATTAATTAGTGATTCTTTGTTGGCAAGAACCAAGTCAAGCAGATTGTTTCCTCTAGTTGGTTCTGTCACAAACTGTTTTAAAAAGCAATCCTGAACCAGTTTTTACACAGGAGGATACCAGCGATATTCCAGTAATGATAAATTATGTAGAACAGGACGATAATAAACTGTGCACTATTAGGGTCACAAGTGACATGGTCCTTAGGCAAATAGATAAATTAAAACCTAACAAATCCCCAGGCCCTGATGAACTGTATGCAAGGGTTCTAAAGGAATGTAAAGAGGAGCTTAGCACACCTTTGGCTAATCTTTTCAACGTATCACTACAAACTGGCATGGTGCCAGATAAGTGGAAAATGGCAAATGTGATACCTATTTTCAAAACAGGTGACAGGTCCTTAGCTTCGAACTATAGACCAATAAGCCTAACCTCCATAGTGGGAAAATTTATGGAATCAATAATTGCCGAGGCAGTTCGTAGCCACCTTGAAAAGCATAAATTAATCAACGAATCTCAGCATGGTTTTACAAAGGGGCGTTCCTGCCTTACGAATTTATTAACTTTTTTCACTAAGGTATTTGAGGAGGTAGATCATGGTAATGAATATGATATTGTGTATATGGACTTCAGTAAGGCTTTTGACAGGGTCCCACATCAGAGACTATTGAGGAAAATTAAAGCACATGGAATAGGAGGAGAAATTTTTTCCTGGATAGAGGCATGGTTGACAAATAGGCAGCAGAGAGTTTGCATAAATGGGGAGAAATCAGAGTGGGGAAGTGTCACGAGCGGTGTTCCACAGGGGTCAGTGTTGGGCCCCCTGCTGTTCACAATCTACATAAACGACATAGATGAGGGCATAAAGAGCGACATCGGCAAGTTTGCCGATGACACCAAAATAGGCCGTCGAATTCATTCTGACGAGGACATTCGAGCACTCCAGGAAGATTTGAATAGACTGATGCAGTGGTCGGAGAAGTGGCAGATGCAGTTTAATATAGACAAATGCAAAGTTCTAAATGTTGGACAGGACAATAACCATGCCACATATAAACTAAATAATGTAGATCTTAATATTACGGATTGCGAAAAAGATTTAGGAGTTCTGGTTAGCAGTAATCTGAAACCAAGACAACAGTGCATAAGTGTTCGCAATAAAGCTAATAGAATCCTTGGCTTCTTATCAAGAAGCATAAATAATAGGAGTCCTCAGGTTGTTCTTCAACTCTATACATCCTTGGTTAGGCCTCATTTAGATTATGCTGCACAGTTTTGGTCACCTTATTACAGAATGGATATAAATTCTCTGGAAAATGTACAAAGGAGGATGACAAAGTTGATCCCATGTATCAGAAACCTTCCCTATGAGGATAGACTAAGGGCCCTGAATCTGCACTCTCTAGAAAGACGTAGAATTAGGGGGGATATGATTGAGGTGTATAAATGGAAGACAGGAATAAATAAAGGGGATGTAAATAGTGTGCTGAAAATATCTAGCCTAGACAGGACTCGCAGCAATGGTTTTAAGTTGGAAAAATTCAGATTCAGGAAGGATATAGGAAAGTACTGGTTTGGTAATAGAGTTGTGGATGAGTGGAACAAACTCCCAAGTACCGTTATAGAGGCCAGAACGTTGTGTAGCTTTAAAAATAGGTTGGATAAATACATGAGTGGATGTGGGTGGGTGTGAGTTAGACCTGATAGCTTGTGCTACCAGGTCGGTTGCCGTGTTCCTCCCTTAAGTCAATGTGACCTGACCTGACTAGGTTGGGTGCATTGGCTTAAGCCGGTAGGAGACTTGGACCTGCCTCGCATGGGCCAGTAGGCCTTCTGCAGTGTTCCTTCGTTCTTATGTTCTTATTATTCCAATCAATTTGTCTAAAATTAAAATCTCCCATTAACACATTTTCATATCTAGACGCTATATGAATTTCGTCACATAGCAGCTTACTGCATTCCCTATCAAGGTTTGGGGGTCTATAAATCTGTAGCCAAACAGATTCTATGTTCGATGTTTCTAATCTTGTATCTTGTCTAACACAACAATTTAAATTATCTCTGACATACGTCACCACTCCACCACCCTTCCTGTTGACCCTATCAGTGTGGAATAGTTTATAACCCTGTATGTTGCATTCAGAAGGCATTTCTCTATCTTTCAGGTTGAACCAGGTCTCCATTATAGCAATAATATCTATATTACCTGCACTTGCAAGTAATCTTAGCTCGTCTATCTTATTTTTAGACTACTATTTGTATAGTATACCTTAAGGGAGCTAGTCACTCGTTGCCCTCTACTATTTCTCTTTGTTGATCAGTTACTTTGCCGTTACTAGCAAATTTACTTTGGATATTGTCTTTTAAGCATATCCCTGAGGTATCCTGGTAATATCTGCTGTTCTTAACCTAAGTACTGCAGCCTGATTGTTTCTCACAAACGCCCATACCTCTATATAATCTATCAGTTTCAAGTCCTAGACAAGATATCAATGACCCCCCCCCCCATCGAATTGGTTAATGCAACGACTCTAGCCCCAGAGAGATGAACCCCATCCCTTGCATACATATGACGTTTGCCATAGAATTTATCAATGAATGGGATTGCAAGTTCCTTGCAGTACATGCTTAGCCAGCAATTTATACCAATTGCCCTAGACATCCACTCATTGCCCACTCCCCTTCTAGGCAAGATGCTACATATGATTGGGATCCCTCCCTTAGACTGACTACATCTATGGCTGACCTGTACTTATCCAGCAGCTCCTGTCTCCTGCCCTTCCCAATGTCATTTCCACCAGTACCAAGACAGATAATGAGCTTATTCCCATTACCTGACATATTATTATCCAACCTGCTAATTATGTCACCAACACCAGCTCCTGGGAGGGACACCCTCTGTCTGACCTTCCTATCTCTGTTACAAAAAGCACAGTTCATATATCTTACTGAGAGTCTCCTACAATCAGAATATTATTACCTTGATTAGCAGGGGAGTCAGTGGTTCCTTTAACCTCACGAACCACTGAAGGAAATTCGTCCTGGAGAACAGAGAAGCGATTTCCTACCTTCACATCATCTCTATTAACCTTCCTTATCTTCCTTCTTCCTGAATTGTGAACCAGTATTATTGGTAACCTTTTCCTCCTCACCAGCTCCAACCATCTCACACTTAATTCCAAACCCATCTAGGTGAAGCTTCAGCCACCTATTTTTCTTCTGAAGAAGTTGAACCTTCTCCTTCAACACTTTAACCTAAGATTCTAAAACACTACAGCAAGCCATGGTGCTCGGTAACACCCCACCACATAGGTTAGTACACACAATATGTATTTATGTGACATGTATGGAGTGACATCTAAACAGTCATATCTGAGTGCCTCCGCAAAGACAGTGATTATGTATGAATGATGGTGAAAGTATTGAATGATGAAAGTTCTTGTTTTGTCACCCTGCCTCAGTGTGAAACGGCCAACGTGTTATACATGTGTATATATATATATATATATATATATATATATATATATATATATATATATATATATATATATATATATATATTGTATATGTATGCTTAATACTGTGTTGCAATTATTTTTTCTTTCAAAACCTTCAGGACGTGGCTAGATTGGCTGCAGAGTTGCCAAATGTTGTTCTCAACTACGAAGTCGAGTTATCCGAATTCAATCACCTTGACTTCGTCTGGTAAGAATTCATAGCGTCTGTATTTCTCATAGACTATTTTCCTCGAGTTTCACCACTTTGCACTTGTTTGTACTGAACTCCATTAATCGCTTGACTGAGGACTCTTGTAACTGTCCCTATCCTCTCTTGTTATTAAGTCTTTCTGGTAGGTCATTTGCATGTATTAAAAGTACTGTATTATTATACGTATGGGGAAGTACTAAACCCATAGGGGTCACAGTGCCTCTAATGGGAGTGATCAAGGTTGACCAGAGGAAGGAGAAAGACTCCAGTTCCTTGGATCAATATTATTATAATAAAAAAGAAGCGTTAAACCAGCAGAGCAGGGAAGGATGCAGGGGTATTGGGTAGCAAGAGATTGAGGTAGAAAGGACTGAGGGGAGTGCTAGAAGTATCATCATCAGGGTTTGTGTAGTAAATTAGTTGCTGTCAAAAAGTCAATGAGAGAGTCTGGGTTGAAGAGGGTCCATCAGCAAGAAGGGAAGGTAAAGAAGGGGCAGTAGAGCGGAGATGACGTTTGAGGTAAATTCTGTGTGCTCGTTGATAGAGTGCGGAGTCTAACAGAAACTGGAACCTAACAATTCTCAGAGAGGAAAAGGGTGCCTCTCCATGGGTTACCCTTAGTAAGACGAGTGTGGCCGATGTGAAGACAGTGCAGTGTCCCAACCTCAACAGTGATGACAAGAAGACAGCCAGAAACCTATACATGGCTTAATAGAATGTAGTTTATGGAGCAGATCAGACCAACGTTATGGAGCAGATCAGACCAACGTTATGGAGCAGATCAGACCAACGTTATGGAGCAGATCAGACCAACGTTATGGAGCAGATCAGACCAACGTTATGGAGCAGATCAGACCAACGTTATGGAGCAGATCAGACCAACGTTATGGAGCAGATCAGACCAACGTTATGGAGCAGATCAGACCAACGTTATGGAGCAGATCAGACCAACGTTATGGAGCAGATCAGACCAACGTTATGGAGCAGATCAGACCAACGTTATGGAGCAGATCAGACCAACATTATGGAGCAGATCAAACCAACATTATGGAGCAGATCAGACCAACGTTATGGAGCAGATCAGACCAACGTTGTTGCCAACGGGTGAGAAGGTGGATAGCAATTACAGCAAAATAGTCCGTGAATGGAACACCTCTATATGAAACTGGGAGGTCATGTACTGCTGACCACACAGCAGTGTCTGCCTGTTAATTGCCCAGTACATCAATATGATCAGGGACCCAACAAGAAACAATATCCTTGTGCTTACTAGAGATGCAGCATAACCAGAGTTGGATATGCAGAACTATGGGATGAGATGTATCAAATTTTCGTATAGCCTGTAAAGCACTAAGGGAGTCTGAAACGACCACAAATGGTGACACAGGCATAGATGCAATACGGATAAGTGCTACGAGAATGGCATACAATTCAGGTATAAAAATACTAGCTGAGGATAATAAATGCCCTCGCACAGCACCATCCGGAAACTGCTGTGAAAAGTGAGACACCAAATGAACATAGAAAGGCGGTAACTGAAGAGAAGACAAGCGGGAATGTAGGTAAAGAGAAAAGGGACGGAGTAAACAGGGGCGACAAACAAATAAAGATCATCCACTAACATCAGTGACTATCCTATATATGGAAGGGTTGCAGAGGTCATGAAAGCCAACATAATAGCAAATGCAGTGAGCATCACGGCAATCACACAAGGATGGAATATTCGCCTCTGCATAGAGGCTCTCAACCAGTGAAGAGCGAAAAGCACCGAGGCATAAACGTAATCCCTGGTGATGGCTGGGATTAAGGTTAGAGAGTTGCAGGAGAGGCCGCTGAATATATCTGGTCGCCATAATCGAGCTTTGATAAAGTTAGGGCTGAATGTAGTCCAAGGAGAGTTCTACGATCAGCCCCCCATGAAAGATGAGTGAGTGTCTTAAGGAAGTTCAGCTGGCTATGACAAGTTGCCTTCAGAGAGGTAATGTGAGGTTTCCATTATAACCGATGGTCAAACAGAAGTCCGAAAAACCTGACCGTGTCACGTTCATGGATATGCAAGCCATATAGGTACAATGGGTGATCAGATACGATAGAACGTCTAGTGAAAGTAATTTGGTGAGCTTTAGTACTAGAAAATTTAAACCCATGAGTGGTGGGCCAATTGGAAACACGGTTGACTGCATGCTGCAATGAGGTTACAGTCAGCGCCTGCACAAGATATAGCAAAGTCATCACCATAGAGCAATGACCAAATACTAGATGGAAGAATAGAGACCAGATCATTAATAGCCAGGAGAAAAAGTGTGGTGCTCAGAACACACCCCTGGAGGACACCTTCAGCTTGGACAAAGTCCGGGGAAAGCATATTATTAACCCGAATACGGAAATGTCTTTCAGTTAAGTTCTTGAGGAAAAATAGTAGATTGCCTTGGAGGTCTAAGGAGTGGACCTGAGCCAAGATATTATACTTCCAAGTTGTCATATGCCTTCTCAAGATAACAAAAAAAAAGGTGGCGATAACTGAATGGTTATTGGCAAAGGCATTACGGACATGTGTATCTAAGCGTAGTAAGGGGTCGGTGGTAGAACGGCCCTTGTGAAAGCCAAATGGACTAGTGGGGAGACTGTTGTGTGTGTCCAAATACCACATCAAACGTCTATTTGCCAGACGTTCCATCACCTTGCAAACTGCACTGGTAAGACCAATGGGACGAGAGTGGGAGGTACCATGTCCCGTAATACCCGGTTTGTGGAAAGGGAGAACAATGGCAGATTTCTAAAGCTGGGGAAGAACTTGTGACCAAACAAGATTAAATATTAAGTGGACTGCAATGTAAATGCTGTAGCATCCAAATGTGAATGCCATCAGGCCCAGCTGCCGGTGATCGGCAAGCTGAGTGTGTTGCCTCCAGTTCCAGAAGTGCAAAAGGCACATTATACGATTCTTTTCTGACGGAAGAAAAGTTTAAGGGCTCTAACTCTCTGGCAGACTTTGAGAAACGAAACGAGAGGCATAGATGAAGCCCCTGAGAGATATGCACACGATGATTACCAATTTCGGTGGCAACATCAAGAGGGCTTTAGATATATCAACACCGGCAACCTGAAGAACAGAAGCCGGGTTGGGAAAGTGTTTACCACTCAGTTTCTGTACTTTTTTCCAGACTGCACTCATAGAGGAAGTAGAGGTGATGGTGGAAACATAATCTTGCCAGCAAGTGTGTTTAGCATCACGGATGACACGGCGAGCGACCACTCGCTTCTGCTTAAAATCAAGGAGTCTCTCTGTGGTTCTACTGTACTGGTACCTGCCCCACGCAGAGCGTTTCAAACGTACTGCCTATGCACAAGCAAGAGACTGCCAAGGCATGCACCTCTGAGAATGCCTGCCTGAGGTTTGTGGTATGGAATGTGAATCTGTGGTTAAAACTGAGGTCAAGAAGTGTAAAAGCTCATCAATGGAGGACGAAGAAGGAACCTTACTAAAGGCAGTTACATGCGAGTAAAGGTCCCAATTTGTTCGATCAAATTGCCAGCGTGGGCTACGAAGAGGTGGTGAATATGAAGGAGAAGAAAGAATGATTGGAAAATGATCGCTGTCATGTAAGTCCGGGAGGACAGACCAGGTGAAGTCTAGTGCAGTGGAGGAAGAGCAGACAGAGAGATCGATACAAGAGAGAGAATGAGTATGAGGATCAAAAAGTGTGGAAGAACTCGTATTTAAAACATGGAGGGAGGGGGAGAGAAGCAAGAAAAGCCTCCAACTGAATGCCGTGGGAGTCACAGAGAGGCCCCTCCCAGAGGAAATGGTGGGCATTAAAATCGCCAAGTAACAGAAGTGGTGGCAGTAAGGAAGAAACCAGAAATGCAACATCTGGGATAGATAAAGCCCGAGGAGAGAGATACGAAGAACGGACTGTATACCACTTCAAGTGGATACGGGCTGCAGTGTAATGCAGTGAAGTATGAACAAAGAGCTGACGGTATGGAATACTGATGCATATAAGAAGTGCACTTTCATTAAAGGTTCCATCGGGAAAAGAAGCCGATGAATATAAATCATAGCCCAAGATGGGATGAAGAACAGTGGAGGGTAATTTGGGTTCTTGTAAACAAACACAAACGGGGGAAAACTGGGAGAGCAACACCTGGAGCTCACCCTGGTTACCTCTGAGGCCGCGTATATTCCACTGTAAATAGGCCATGATTTGCAAAAAGAAAGATACAAGAAAGCTGAAGGTGGAGGTATCTAAGGACTAGTAGGGCTAGAAAAGTCCACATGTGCAGGTAGCAAAAGACGGTTAAGCAACGAAGGATTGGGACACTGTGAAGAAAGGAGTTGTGCAGATGGAGAAGAGTGAAGAGGAGGAGGATCAGTGTCCATCAATGGTCTAGCCGCCTCAATATATTCTGAGATAATTTCAAGTGTTTCTGAGGACAAGGACGTTATATGTGGTACAACATTGGAGACGGAAGGAGGGTGAGTAAAGACTGGGGAGACGATGGACACTACCAAAGTAGGGGGGACGAAAGGGTACAGGGAACTAGAGAAGCTTGTGAGGGGACATTTGGAGAGGAAGTGACACGGGAGAGGGCAGAAGAGGAAGAAACTTGGGAGGGGACAGGGAAAGAAGGTACTGTATGAGGAGGATGAACCTCCACACTCGTAACAGAGCCAGTTAGAGGTGAAGAACCGGGTACAGGGACTGGGAAGATAAAATGAGCAGGTTGCAGAAGGTAAGGAGGGTGAAAGGAGATTTTAACAATGGGGATGTTATGGACTTCGGAGAAGGGGAGGGGTGATGGGGAGTAGGTGTTGTATGAGGTCTCGTAGACACAAATTTGTGAGTGAGTAGAGGAAGAGGTGAGAACAGAATGAAGTGCCAAGGTAGGGACCTCTGAGTCCAGGACAGCAAAAGAATTAGAGCCGGGGGTGACCACAGAGGAGGCTGCAGAAGTTGTGACCCCAGAGGAGGGGGAGACGTCTAGCAACTCGACAATAAGAAATACGGGAAAGTTTCCCTTGGAGGCATAGATGAGAGACTGCCATAGCATATGGTAGGCCTTCTACCTTTTTGAGGCAACGAATTTCATGCTCAATTAAGTAAACTTGGCAACAGCGAGAGTAAGATGGGCGAGCCTCGTGACAATTAAGGCAAGTGGGAGGTAGACTACAAGACGTATTATTGGTATGGTCATCGGCACCACAGACTGGGCATTCGGCGACGAACCTGCAATATTTTGCTGGATGACCAAAACTCCAGCAATTTCTACACTGTTGCTGTGTAGGGATCACCTTTCGAACTTGTAAATGGTGCCCCGCTACATATACAGAGGATAGAAGCTCACGGCAGTCGAAAGTTAAGTGAGCTACATTGCAAGGGTATCGTCTCCGCCTGCAGGCTGGGAGGACTAAGCATCTTCTTTGAGGACTGGGAGGTTTTGCAGTTCTAGCTGTTCCAGAATGTCATTACCACATGTCTGGAAATTCTGTTGGACAGTGGTATGGGGCAGAATGACAGCACCAGTACAAGAATTGAGGGAATGATATTTTTCAATAGTTACAGAAATAGTATCGATAGTTGTGAGGAGAGAAAGATCGTGAGCTTGGTTAGCATTCTGGACAGTGATGATGCGTGTGCCACTCTTGAGAGCAAGAAAGGATATATCTCTACCAACATGGCATAGGAGTGCCTTGTTGGTCTGAAAGACAGGCAGTAGAGGAAGTCAGTCAAAGAGTAAAAATCTTAGTCCATTGCGTATTTTGAAACATAGCGTGTAAAGGGAGTGCATGACGTGCCGGTCTTTTCTGAGTAGAGGGAGAAGGAAGTGAAGAAGTATCATCAGGTACTAGTCTTGGGCGTTTAGGTGTGGGACCGGAGGTGGTCCGACACGGGACGAGCGGGCGATCTGAAAATCGCCACACCATAGAGGGAAAAGCCGGAAGCATAGTCAAAGAAGAGCGGAGGTCAGATGTATTGAAGGAGTCGGTCAAAACCCTGGTACTTGGAGCAAGTGTCGAAACAGCACCAGCAGGAGGTACAAGGGCATTAGAAATGTCCAAAGGGTGGTCAAATAACGAGGCAGGGTCAGAACAGGGTGCGGTATCAGGAAGGGGCCTGGGGGGAGCAGGTTCATGGATTGGGAACTCCATGGTTAGGTCACTTCTTTTCTTTTTTAGAAAAAAAGAAAGAAAATAAAAAACAGAATAAAAAAAGGGGGGGAATGTGGAGGAATAGCTCCTAGGAGGAATGAAAGGGCCATAAATCTACCTCTGCGTCCTAGAGGACCTCAGCACTGCAAGTAGTGCAGATGCAACATGGAACCCATGCCATACCCTACCCTTCATGCCAGTAAACCAGCAATCTGGGATAGCAACCTCACATCCACCAAGCCACCTCGGCAGACAAAAGAGAGGGCGGCCAAAGGAGGTATGCCACAAAGCATACCTCCTTTGGCCACCACCCTCTGGAAATCGAAAGGTAGCCTCCAGAGATACACCAGTCACCCGAAAGACACCCAAAGCCACCCCCCCCCACGGGCGACCAGAGATTGATCGGGACATCCCCAGGTGGTCCAGATTCCACAGCAAACTACACCACCACCAAGGACCTCAACAGAATGGGATCGACCTTGGTACCCTTCCCCTATCTAGGAACTAGAGTGCCTGTGAGAATCCCAAAGGCCAAAAAGAGGAAGGGAATAAGGGAGGAATGTGGGGGAATAGGAGGAAAGGAAAAAGGGAGGATGGGATAGGGAGAAGGGATTGGAGGGCAACTGGGTTCGGTCTGAGGAAGGAGACCAGGTCTAATTCCTCAGACCAAGAGCCTCTTCACTGCCCCCAAGGAGCCTCCCTTGAAGAGGCCTTGGATCAATAACCCTTTCCATTGAAGGGATTAAGAATACGATCGTAGTACCAATATTTGGGGGACCATGCCAGATACCTCCTCCCTAATCTTAACACTTTTATTCCTTAGATATTTCTTTATTCACACTTTCCCATGCACTTCTGCCTACTTTTATAATTTGTGGATTATTATCATCATAACTTAACTATTAATTTGTGGGTTAATACAGATTTCCTTGCGGCAAAAAAAAAGTCCACCCATTCTTGGTCTTCGTGCTTGATAGCTGTTCTTGTCATTGAACTCGAGCAGGTTTGCGAGGCAGGATTTACCGTCCCTAACTCCTTGCTGGATTTTCGTAACAAAGTTCCTCTTTTTCTGTGTAATTATTAATTTATAATTACAGGAGCAGAGCTCTGCTCATTATGTAGGTCCAGTTCCTCTCATCCAGAGCCCTTCGGGTATCAAGGCTCCGCTTCTCTTCCCCTTTGAAGGACGATTGTCCCGAAAAACTATTTTTATATACTTTTATGTAACTGGTATATTTTTTCAGGGCCATCCACGCAAATGAATATGTTTATCGCCAAGTGTTGGAGCTTCTATCTAATTACTGAAGACTGTAACTAATAACGTACTGCACGGCTTCCACTTTTTCGAAGTGCCAGAAGTGATGAAGCTCGACCGTTGATCTGCTGATCACCACACAAGTATAAATATATATTATATAATATGAGAAAGTAACCCACATGGTGACAGAGGCAAGATAATAAATAGTCGGTATACTTCCACCTGTCTTTTCTTCCGCCTTTGTCACCATGTGGATTACCTTTTCTAATGGACTAGTGTTCATTACACTTTCAGGTTATAACACACACTTTCTCTCAAACTCGCATACCACAGTATTTTCACATATTTGCAATTACGCAGATATTGACTTTTCCCCCTCCCCCCAACACACATTATATATTCATATGTCGATCTTGGCTTAAATAGCAATGCACTTCTTGCCGAAAAAGGCAAGCTAAAATTTGTGTGTGCAATAATTTCGCAAAAATCATTCTGAACCTACCAAAAAAAAAATATTTCGTTTATTAATTATTATTATTATAATCAAAAAGAAGCGCTAAGCCACAAGGACTATACAGCTTCGTTTATTAAATTATTGTAAATTTATAAAATATATTTAGTTGGATTAGGCTAAATTAAACTCATTTGTTATAATAAGGTTAGGTAAGCTTCCTAAGGTTCTTTTGGTACAAAATCATTAATTTTTATAAAACTGATGAAAAAAGTATATCTATAAATGTACAAGAGAAAATTTTAGAAAGGACTTAATTTTAAATGAGTTCTTGCTAATTGGCCAGTTTTACCTATTCGGTACGACATATATAAACACAGTGGAACTCCGGATTTCGTACTTAATCCGAATCATACGAAAACCGAAGTAATTCCCATAAATAACGTAAACACAATCCATTCCAGACGCCCAAAAATATTAACAAAAAATACATTTTTTAAAGAATAACTATAGTTTTACATACAGAAAACAATGAGAAATAAATACATAAAGCACTAATGAAATGGATAGATGAACATTTAAATCACCGTTACATACCTTAACTGAAGACTCATGTTGGCGTATGGAAGAGGGCGAGGAGCGGGTGGGAGAGAGAGCGAGCTTATTGTTTGGAAGGGGAATCCCCCTCCATAAGGACTTCAGGTATCAAAGACCTATCCGGGGTTACTTCCCTTCTTTGTCTTTTACTGGCACTAGAGCCGTTGCACTAAAAATCTGTCCAGAGAGCTGTTTCTGGCATCTCTAAGATTTGCCTAAAATGGGACAAGGTTTTGTCACTGAACATGCTGCAGATACGGCTTGTATCAGCTTGATCAGGGTGATATTTTTCCACAAAAGTTTGCAACTCATTCCACTTTGCACACATGTCCTTAATCACTAAAGAAGGCACCTTCTCCCCTCTCTCTTCCTCCTCTTCTGAAGCAGTTTCCTCAGCTGTAGTCTGTTGCTGTTCCAGTGGTTAGCACTTCCCTGTGGTCGTCCACCAACTCTTCCACATCCTGGCCACTCACCTCCATCCCCATGGACATACCCAAAGACACAATAGATTCCACAAAAGGCATAGAGCCGTCCTTAAACCCTTCAAAATTCTTGTCGAGGACACATTCTGGCCACAATTTTCTCCAAGCAAAGTTCAAAGTCCTGGAAGTCACTCCCTGCCAAACCTTACCTATAATTATAATAAAAAGAAGCGCTAAACCATTAAGGCTTATGCAGTGGAGGATATTGAATTCCTCCAGAACTCTCTTTGGGTCAATTCAGTGTCTGAGGTCACTTCAAATCACCTCTAAAACATTGCTTTCGTGTATTTTTTTTTTTTTGAAGTTAGAAATGACCTGCTGGTCCATGGGTTGGATGAGAGGAGCGGTGTTAGGAAAGAACTTCACTGTTATAAAACTGAAGTCCCTAAACAACTGGTCTTCCAAGTCTGGAGGATGAGCAGGAGCACTGTCCAGTACCAGGAGGCACTTGAGTGGCAATTTATTTTCCAGGAGGTATTTTGTCACACCCAGGCCAAACACTTCATGGACCCAGTCAATGAAAATTTGCCTTGTGACCAATGCCTTACTACTAGCTTTCCACATCACACAATTTACTCTTGACGACATTGTTTTTCTTGAACACTCGGGGATTTCCAGAGTGATACACCAGTAAAGGCTTCACTTTGAAATCCCTACTAGCATTACCACAGAACAAGAGAGTTAGTCTGTCATTCATAGGCTTGTGTGCTGGCAGTACCTTTTCCTCCTGCATGATGTAGGTCCTCTTTGGCATTTTCTTCCAAAAGAGGCCTGTTTCGTCACAAATGAACACTTTTGTTGGGGGACAAATCCTTCAGCCTCTATGTACTCCTTGAATTCATCAACGAATTCTTCGGCCACACGTTTGTCTGAGCTTGCAGCCTCACCATGCCCTACGCTTCTTGAATCTGTTGAACCATCCTTTGCCGGCCTTAAATTCTCTAACAGCAGGACTCGTTCCAGGCATTTTCTTTACGAGATCCGCATGCAACTGCTTTGCCTTTTCGCAAATGATAGACTCCACAACACTGTCTCCTGTTAACTGTTTTTCGTTGATCCACAAAAACAACTCCACATCTTCGATTGTTTGTGATCTCTGTTTCATTAGCATACTGTCCCTTTTGCAACTTTAGCTTCCTTGATTTCTTCTTTCTTTGCCAGGATGGAACAGATTGTTGATTTCGACTTCCCATACATCCTGGCAAGCTCGGCTAAACGTACGCCACTTTCATATTTTTCTACAATCTCTCTCTTGAATTCTATCGTGTTTCTCACCTTCTTTACGAAAGGGCTGGCCCTAAGAACTTTCTTTGGGCTCATGGTGGCTTATTTCACAGACACACACAACAGTTAAGCACAAAAAACAATAGATTATTACAAAATGTTTCGGATCAACGTGCGAAGTAATGCTCACTCGACCAATGACAGCCAGATCGAGACGTGTGCATGAGTGGCGACTTCTCGGGCAGGCGGACGCATCTGATACCTAGGATTTCCGGGCGGAGGTAAGAAATCCGGAGCAAAATTTGGCCCAAAAAAAGTGGTCTGAATCCGAAACGTACGATATTTGGTACGAAATCCGGAGTTCCACTGTGTATAATATTACGTCCGGAAAGTGTGCATTATAATCATGGGGGAGCGCTAAACCCATAAGATTATACAGCGCATGTGGGGGGGGGGGTGAATGGAAGGTATTTGGGCTCAATTCACTGAACCGGAGCACAGATACAATTCCCAAGATCAAGAGTCCCTCACCAGCATTAAGGAACCTCCCTTGAGGGGTAAAAAAAAAAGTGTGCAGGCTGGGGAAACAGACTGCAAGCCTCCCTGACAGAGAAAGACCTCGCGGTGAGCATAGTTCCAAGTATTTCGCCTGAAGCACATAACCAAATAACCACCGTAGCAAAGGCGCAACTGGCAAATTTAAGGTAGCATTTGGAGGCATTCACGACCATATACACAGCATATATCAGGCCCATCTTGGACTATGCAGTGCCAGTATGGTACTCGCATTCCGTTAAGCATGTAAAGAAGCTGGAAAAAGTGCAAAGATTTGGAACGAAACTAGTCCCAGAGCTGAGGGGTATGACATATGAGGAGAGGTTAGAAAAGTTATGCCCGACGACACAAAAGGACAAGACCAAATATGATTTCAAAGTTAAAAAATAAAAGCACAAACGAGTTACAGGGACATTAGGAAATACTTTTTCAGCTTTAGTGGTCAGAAAGTGGAACGACCTAGACAGCGAAGTGGTAGAAGCAGAATACACGAATAACTTTAATAATAGATATGATAAGTCTTACACAATCGGAGTGACACCCTTAACAGCCATCCGAGGTGGGACCAGGAACTGAGTCTCGACCCGTGCAACCACAACTAGGAGAGCGCGCGCGCACACAAATACATATAAGCATATTGGGAAATGTGAGAAAGACGAGCATAGGTCACTGAAAATAACATTTACTCATATTTAACATAAGGAACTTTAAAAAAAAAATGGAGGGTTATAAGGACATACAGATTAGACAAGATCTTTCAAAGGCGGACACGGTGAAAATAAGATTTCATAAATGCTACTGAAAGGTTGAAAGAGAGAAGTGGGATTTTTTTTTTTTACCGAGTAATAGGACTATACAAGCAGATCATATGAATTTTCAAAGAAACTACCACAAGACAGATGAAAATCTTGTTGAAACAAATGGGAAAAAGGGGGAACAGTGAGAATAATAATTTTTTGAAGATTTTATACAGATACATGGAGTGGGTTCGAATCCTGCTGACCGCGACCATTCTCTGTATATACCTCAGCTTGAAGATTGAGACACTTATGCAGCATATGGGAATCTTTATTCAGGAAACGTTTCGCCACACAGTGGCTTCATCAGTCCAATACAAAGAGGAAGGCGTAAGGAGAGGAGGAGAATGAGGTAATCAGTCCCTCAACCTGGAGTCGATGTGTTCAGTCCATCAATCTTGTAGAATGTACAGCATAGGGCCGTAGACGTGGCTTATATACTGTAGTGAGGTGAGGTGAAGCAGGCGGAGGCGGGGTCATAGTGTTACCATCCACTAGTCGAAGTAGGTCTTCGTCCAAAGGTTGAACAAGAGTTGAAGAATTCTTTGTAACAAGATCCCATGATGCTGCAGTGTCTGACAGTTGTGATGAATGGTTTGAAAAACCGACAAGTTGAAGATTGAGACACTTATGCAGCATATGGGAATCTTTATTCAGGAAACGTTTCGCCACACAGTGGCAGCATCATGGGATCTTGTTACAAAGAATTCTTCAACACTTGTTCAACCTTTGGACGAAGACCTACTTCGACTAGTGGATGGTACCACTATGACCCCGCCTCCGCCTGCTTCACCTCACCTCACTACAGTATATAAGCCACGTCTACGGCCCTATGCTGTACATTCTACAAGATTGATGGACTGAACACATCGACTCCAGGTTGAGGGACTGATTACCTCATTCTCCTCCTCTCCTTACGCCTTCCTCTTTGTATTGGACTCATGAAGCCACTGTGTGGCGAAACGTTTCCTGAATAAAGATTCCCATATGCTGCATAAGTGTCTCAATCTTCAACTTGTCGGGTTTTCAAACCATTCATCACATACTTCAGCTTGTTTCTGCGTAGTGTATTGACATTATACATACATACATACATGTATAAGTAGGAAAAAAAGGCAAACATTCTGTAGTTGAATTATATATTCTAACACTATTTCTGGTTAAAAATTTGCTAAGACTTACATATTTTTGTCTACAGTATTGGTTTCACTGGTATTAATAATAAAGAAAATACTACAAGCTCAGCTTTAAGCTCTCAGTTTCTTCCCAAACTTAAGTGAACTAGATACATGGCTTATTTTGGGTCAATGACAGCAACTCTAAAATTACAAGGAAACATATGCACATAAGTCACTGTTTATCAATTATTTTGTGCCTTTAAGTGAACAATGACAGCAGTCTGAAGTGCCCGTACTAAGTCTCATTAAAAAAAATATATGGCGCTGTATGACCCATACGGGTTTAGCGCATATTTTTAATATGTCCTAAAATTAATTAAGCTGGAGCAGATAGTGCCACTCTGGTTGTATTTAACAAAACTGTTAATGGCTAGTTTGATACAATTTTCATTCAAATGGAGGTACCTTGATGCTAGTGAATCGCTCTTGATCTCCCGATTGCCTCTCATTACCCAGGTGCTACAGTTTTCTTCAGTATCAAGCACACTTTTTCCCATCCCCTGAAAATAAGTTTCATGTCGGGTGTATGCGGGAGTTGACTCACAGGCTGTGTACTTCCCTAGGTGACCAATAAGTGTAAATAATGACAATATTCCAATAAAGGGTATATGTATCTGAAGTATACTTTGACCTTTCACTAGTAGGGATGAGAGTATACAGGACAGTCAGAAACGAGATAATATGGCCTTTACGTTTCTGCAAGCCGATACATCTTAAAAGTTACTGTCATCCTTAAGATTACCGTTATAGCTACACTACAAAATTCGTTCTGTGCTTTACAGCAGAAGATATTGCACTATTAGATTTTAATGTTTTGTTTTATACATTACTCCAACATACGCTCTGGGTTATCAGATTTGACCTGATCTTTATCTTCTCACCTGACCTCTTCTCCTTGGGTTCTGTCTCATGACCTATTTCCCCTGGATTTTTTGTCCCACCCTCGTGGGCCATTAGCTCTCGTGCAGTGCTCACCCCCTTTTTTTGTTGTTAGACTACCTCCACTACTACGACTGCGTTGCTAACATTCCGCTCTAACTTGTTTCACTACCACTAATCCCTTCTTATTGCCACCTCTGCCACTGTTGCACTACTTATACCACTACTACTACCAAATTATACTTCTACCCCGCCCCTCTCTCTTATACCGGCTCCCTTCCCTCTGCACTTGTGCGGTTAGTTAATGATCCAAGTCGGATTGAATCATCGTCATAAGTTTCATTCTCCTACGTGCTGGATATTTGTGCATTGTTCCAGGTCACGGTACTGTGCCATTTCATTCTTCAACGGCCGGGAGGGAAAGGGGGGGGGAGGTTGGCTAAACCTCGCAGAAACGGAGTCTTCGAAAGATTAAGCTTTGTCTTGATGATTATAATTAATCACGTAATATGTACTAGTAACTAATTTCAATTTTTTAAAGTGGTGGACCGGTAAGCCTGTGGAAGGCCTTTGCCTGATTACCAAAAACTCCAGTGGCGGGTCATAATATGACTAAAGACCTGCGCCAGGAAACACTTGTCCTGTTTCCTGACGAACCTAACATTGTTACAGAACAGAGCACCTGGGGATTAGGCGATCTAAAGGGTAGAGAAATTCCCTGAATCAAGAACCCCTTACGAACATCAAGGTATTTCCTTTGAAGGGATCAGTATGGAGATTAGTGTATGTTAGATAAAGGGAAGGACACAGGTGCAACTAATGCGACATTTTATTGTGGCAACGTTTCTTTCTCCAGGAGCTTTGTCAAGCATAACCTCCAAAGTCGTCACCGCTCTACTGCCCTTATTTTACCTTCCTTTCTTGCTGATGGACTCTTCTTTAACCCAGACTCTCTCATTGACTTTTTGACAGCAACTGATTTACTGTACAAACTCGGATGATGAAGATTCCTCTAGTACTCCTCACAGCCCTTTCTGCCTCAATCTCTTTATACCCTCTACCTCTGTACTATCCACTGCCCCGTTGCACTCCATGGCCTAATAATCATCCCTCTCCCTCTTGCTACCCAACATCCCTGCATCCTTCCCTGCCCGGCGGCGCTGTATGACCCTTGTAGGTTTAGCACTTCTTTTCTGATTATAATGTCAAGCATTAACGGTTTGACAAAGCTCCTTGGAGACCGAAACGTTGCCACAATAAAATTTCGCATTAGTTGCACTTGTCCTTTTACCTAACATCATTGTCGGTAATTCTAGCAACATTGTCAGGAGATTTAGTGTAGTTCTTACTAGCAATCCTAGTGGCATAATCCCTTCCATGTACTAAAAGCATTGATTAAAGAAATCTGCACAACCGTAAACTTTTATCTAGCAAGACTGACCCTTCTGTGTCCATTATTCATAAAAATTGATTACATAAAATTATAACTTGCATAGTCAGATATGTCCTACATAGTTTACTTACTAACGATAATTCTAAAGTTGAAAATTTTTAGTAAAAATTAAAAGAAAGTGACAATCATTCTTCACAGTATACATCAAACATATTTAATTTGAAATAATAAAACCCAAATGGGTATTTCTCTGGTACCACATTATATTTACAGGGAGGCGCTCGACCTGTGAAGGTCATACTGCGCTTGGGGGCATGGGAGGCAATCTGGTTCGGTCCAAGGACTTGGAGGACCAGGTCCGATTCCTTGCATCAAAAGCCCCTCACCTGCATCAAGAGGCGTCTAGTACCACAAATATACTTTACTATTAACTGACAAAAAATACTCTTTGTTAAAATTTTCTTACTACTATTGAGCAAAAACAACATACAAGTGTTTATCAAGTATTGCTTCAGCATATTTTTTAAGCATTAATATCTTATTGTATTCTTGTATAAATTCATGTTCTATAAGTTTAAAAGACAATCTCGGGTTTAGAGCATAATTTTAATAATAATTATTATTATTATTATTATTATTATAGATTAAGAATGAATTGAAAACGCTAGTACTCGACACAAACACGTAGCTGAGATTCTACACTGGCTGCCAGAGATAACGTCCACACCTACGTTTCCATATTCTTTTGTCAAGACAAAAATATCGACATTCCACAACTAGCAAACTTAAATTTCTATTCACAGAAAAACTTAAATTTTAGGTCAATGTCAGCCAATTTGGATGAATACACACACACACACACACACACACACACACACACACACACACACACACACACACACACACACACACACACACACACACACACACACACACACACACACATGCCCACACACACACACCAGGAGCTGTGGATCGACCCCTGCAACCACATACAGGCGAGTACACACATACACACACCACACAGGGAAGTGCCACTAAGCAAGTTAATTAAGCGAACCTGATGAAGGGGTGGGGACAGATTACATGCAGTTTTAAGAATAAATAAGAGGGGATATTCGCACGCCATTGAAAAAGCTGCAAAGAAAAATCGACCCTTCCAATCAAAACTAGACGAACGCACACAAAAAGAAGAGATCAAATATAACCAGTGTGCTAACTAAACATAATTAAAAAAAGTATCTTAGGGAAACTGAAGTAGCTGAAAGTTTAAAATAATCAAATTTGGTTAAAGAAAAAGTCACTCGGACCTCTGAATTTAAGAGTTAAGCCAGAGGTTGCTCTCTCGTGGAACGATGACTACATCCCCAACAGTAGCACTATACGACATCGGCTGCTTGGGGAAAAGAAATGTTTGCCGAGAGATTTTTATAGGGAAAAAAGTTTCGACCTATTAAAATCTTTATCAAGCCCTACGAAAGCTGAATTGCATGACTATGCAATGCTTACATACACAGTATATATACATTTTTTCAACACGCTTGCCGTCTCCCACCGAGGCAGGGCGACCCAAAATTGAAACAGACATGCACCATCATTATCACACAATCACTGTCTTTGCAGAGGCGTGCAGATACGACGGTTCAGATGTCATTCCAAACAGCAAATATCCCAAACCCTTCCTTTAGAGTGCAGGCACTGTACTTCTTACCTCCAGGACTCGAATCAAGCTTGTGGTTTCCTGAAATCCCTTCATAAAATATTACCTTGCTCACATTCCAACAGCTAGTTAAGTTCCAAAAACTATTTGTCTCCACTCCTAACACGCTCACACATGCCTGCTGTATATCAAAGTCTCTTGCACACAAAACTTCCTTATCTCCTCCCTCCATCCTTTCCTAGGACGACCTCTACTCCGCCTTTACTACAGATTTATATACCCTCGTGGCCGGGTCACCATATGGAGAAGACCCGGGCCGGAAGTACCGGCAAACCTCTAATGAATGAATGAATATACCCTCGTAATAATACCTTTAGTAATTCTGCACTGCATAATATTTACGCCACACATTGCCTTTAAAAACATCTGCACTGCCTCCAGCCTCCTCGCTGCAGCTTTCACAACCCATGCTTCACACCTATATAAGTGTGTTGGTACCACTATACTCTTATACATTCCCTTCTTTGCCCCCATGGATAACATTCTTTGTCTCCAGATACCTCAATGCACCATCCACCTTTTTTCCTTCTATTCTATGGGTTACCTCTTCCTTAATATGCCCATCCATCGACACGTCCACTCCCAAATATCTAAACACATTCAATTCTTCCATACTCCCTCCAATCTGAAATCCAATTTTTCATTACTTAACTCGTTTGATACCCTCATCACCTTACTCTTTATCTATGTATCGTGTAACAAACAAAACAGAAAAAATGGATTAAATGAGGCAGCATAATAAAGAAAAGTAACAGTTGGAATGGTGGTGGATTAGAAATATTAGAGAAAAGAAGCTGCATAACACAATCTCAAAAAAAGCACTAAACACAAAAAGACTTTAATATGATACATAGACTACTTATCACACAAAATAAATTACTGAACACTGATAAAAAAAATAAAATCATTGTAATAAATTGTTTTAATGCAAACAAGACAAAGTACTACATGAAAGTAAAGAGGAAAACAAATGAACAAAATTTCTGAACATAAGGTTCAGCATATCAAAGAGGCAACCGGAGTGAGAGGTGTAAACACAATGTTTACTGGAAAACAATGAAGGATTCTTCTAAATAAATTATTTGAACATGATAAAAGTGTTCATGTTCTATTAAAGATAATATGATGCGAGGTATGACTTCTGGAAGAGAGACTTCCAGGGAGGTGAAGGGTTCTTGATCCATGAAACTGGAGCTACTCTTCACTTCCTTGGATCAAGCTTGATTTCATCACATCCCACTCCCAGGCACCGTATGATCATTACGGGTTAAAGGTTTCCACATAAGTGTAAAAATAATTGGGAAGAGCGAAAAAACGAAAAACAAGACTGAATCACAGAAGCCCCCCCCCCCCCCCAAAAAAAAAAAAATATTATGCTTATCCAAGATATCGCACTATATGACCCATATAAATTTAGCACATAAAATTATGTTATTATTATTCAAGACTATTTCTGAAAACTTAATTAAACGAAATATTTATGAAAAGTTCTGTATATGAAAATGGAGTCTAAATTCATTCCACAAAAAAAGGCTAAACAATAGCAGGTGCAGCAGCCAATACAAAAACAGCCTACCCAAAAACAGCAAGATATTTACACAAGCCAGAAATTAGCTAGAAGGGAGAAAATAGTTAAAACTTTACAAAGAAGGAATAACAAACAACTCTGAATCACTTCTATTCAAGTTTGTAAAAACTACTTAATGTGAAAGATAAAATACCAAAAGACAAAAAATTGCTTAATTAAATAAATCGTGTGAAATGATATTTATGAAATTCCAGAGTGCATTTACAGAAGAAACCATAAGCACTGTGGACTTTCCTCAGACAGTTTACTGCCATGGAGTCCACTGGCATATGCAACATTCTTCAAGAACTTCCTTACAAGAAGGTAAGCCGATAGAAACCTTGAAAACAGCAACTACTGTGCTGATTATTAAACGCCTGTGTCTGATGTGTGTTGTAAATCCTAGAAAAAGCTATCAAGAGAGAAGTGAATCTATCTAAAAAACAAAAAACTACTGTCAGGTCGAGTTCAGCTGAGCAAAATCCTATAAAAACAGTTATTTAGCTCATATAGTCACAGAAATTACATATAAAAGAAATGGATGGACATACTGCATTTACTTGTCCTCAAAAAAAAAAAAGCTTTAGATAATTTCCCATGAAAGACCAGTCTGAAAACGACATAACAGAGAATAAATACAAGGTACTCTGCTGCAGTGGAAAAGATGCTATTTATCTCAAAGAGGTGAACCACAAAGAGGAAAAAAAATGGTCTTCATGGGCAAACATTATCATTGAGGGGTCCCACAAGGAGAAGTACTTGCCTAGATTATGTTTTTAAACTACAGATTGCAAGTTCTAAATAACCTATACACAATAATAAAGCACAATTAATGCAGATAATAAAATTAACAGATAAATCTCAAGTCATACAATGAAAATGAAAGAAAAGCACTAACAAGCCAAACAATTAATACAAACTCATAAAACACTGAAAACCTCAGACAAAGATAGGGATCTGGAGGTACTGTAATCATGAATAACAGAATATCAGCAGAAAATAACAAATAATGAGGAACGATCATGCTGTACAATAATAGCAAATTTAAAAATAGCCATCTAATGCGTTGTCTACAAAAGATAAATAATTGTTCACAACATATGTTACACAAGGTGAAAAGCAGTGTGGAGTCCACAGTAAAAAATAAAAGCCAATAAACAAACAAACATGAAGATTTATTACGAAGCAGCAAGAGCCAAGATTTATGGCTAAGACCCCCAATAAAGATTCATTGAGGCTGGTGAGCAGTTCATGATCCATGAAATTGGATCATAGCTGTCATTACTTTCCAAGGAGCTGTATGTAATAATCATAGGTAAGAGATAGCTGAAAGTGCAAATGAGAAATGCTGATTATCATTAAATTCATAAAAAGGAACAAAACCCGCTCAATGGCAGGAGGGATTTGTATCCACCGGTTTATACGACAGTAGTTAATGAATGTAGCTAAAAATGTTCAAGGGAGGAAAATATGACCTGATAATTACATGTACAGCATGAGCTTAAAACATACATGACAACAGGTAAAGATATTCCAGCACCATCAATAGGCAGAACAAGAGGCCATAATTGTAAATAACATGCATGACAATAGGTAAGGAAGATGTTCTAGTAATCTCAAGAGACCATAATTGTAAAGTACAGTATGAAGGCAGTGCCAAAAAAGACGATAGAAGATACTTCTTGACAGAATGGCTGACTACTAGAACAGAGTCCAATAAAAAATGTGTGATACAACCACCTGAAACTAACATATTTTAAGATATCTAAACATTGAAGACGGAACACCATGAACAGACCTACTATTGTAACTACAAATAGATAACCTCTCATACTCTCTCTCACACACACATATATATAGTATATATTCTTGATAGGTAACTCTAGGAATTATCTGGTGGGTTGGTTACATCCTAAATTAACATTCCAATTTGTCCTTCCTGAGGAATCTGCTTACATTCTACATTTCATTCCAGTTTAGTTTTTGCACACTCAAATTTTTATTTAGAATTAAGTAGATTAGCTAGTTTCCAACCAAAAATATAATTTTAGGAAATACTTTGATAATTTTCGCATCAAATTTGTAAAGTGCTTCAACTCTAATTTGTTCATTCTGCTGGGTCTATTTCCATCTTAAGTTTCATTTTTAAGTAATTCTTTATACACGTACAACAAAACTGAACATTTAGTTTATAGTTTCCACCCGAGAAGGATGTTTTATACTAAATTTGCATTCCAAGCTATCCTCGTCACTGGGTTATTTCCAGACTAAATTACCATTCCATATTTTCCTTCTTGAATGTAAATTTGGGACTATTATCAGAGTAAAACTGACTGTACCAGCGACGAAACCTGAGGATCAGGCGGTCCTCAGACACCAGCAGCGGCTGCGACATGTACTGCTTGTTGTTCCAGATCATTATATCACGCTCAAACTGCGAAAATTAATAGTAAACGTGGGAATAAAGTTATGAACGTGGAAATTAAGGAAGAAAATGATAAAAAAGTGGTTGAATATGGGCTCTGTTTATCTTAAAAATCTAATGTTGTATAATACATACGTACAGGAGGGCCCCGCTTTACAATGTTTCGCTATTACAGCAGTTTTCAGTTACACCCATTCTTCATTTATTCAGACTTCCTACAATAAATATATTCATAACTCACTATAAGCTAAGAACGAAAATATTTTAAGGCAAGTAATGTGCTTTCTGTATATGCATTTTTTAGGTCTAGCTCTACTGTTCACTTAATATATGAGACTGTAAACATGTTATGAGGCCTTTATATGCATTTGTAAAGCTATTTTTGCTTTCCAGCAGTAGCCCGGAACCTAACCTGCTGTATAACCGGGGCCCTCCTGTATATTAGTATACTAGCTGAGTACTATACTGTGAGAGGAAATTGCCAACGTTTCTGTCCGTCTTGTGCCATTAAGTCTTCACGTGATAATGGTCCAGGAGGGACGGAAACATCGTCCTGAGTTTCTTTTCTTACATAGTTTGAGTTGTTTGTGAATTGTTCCAGCCACGGTATTATGAATTGCTGTTCATCGACTTGATAGATGATGTACATAATTGACATTATTTAGTCAGTGGTAAAGACTTACATGGCGGGCCTCTGATAAGAGGACGAACTTGGCATATGGAGCGATGAAGGAGCTGGAGGAGTAGAACTGGTGGATGACTCTCTGTCTGAGGGGCTCCATGGGCGAGACGGTTTGGATGAGCAACCCGGAGCCCAAACCAGTGTTGAAATGCAGGTGTACTAGGCCGGGTCCAATCTGTAGACACCGCCATTATTAGATTTATGTGGAAATGGTAAACCTGTAATGGGTCATATAGAACCTGAGGAATGGTAAGGAAGCTCTAATTCATTATTACATCAACAGCCCTTGAACATCATCGTACACTTGCAGGGTCGACTCCGTCAACATGTTGATGGAAACATATGGATAAGTTTCCTTGCACTACCTTGGCCTTACACAAATAACCCGCACATAAAAGAGAGAAGCTTACGACGACGTCTCGGTCCGACTTGGACCATTAACTTTGTCAATGGTCCAAGTCGGACCGAAACGTCGTCGTAAGCTTCTCTCTTTTATGTGCGGGTTATTTGTGTATCGTTCCAGCCACGGTATTGTGCCTTTTTTTGTTACCTTGGCCTTGCTTACCTAGCAGTAAAACAAGATACTTTTGTGTTAGTCGACTGTTGTTGGCGACGTACCCCTCTGAGAAGAGAGAACTACAGCTATCACAGGGCTGGACTCTGAAATGTGCTGTGTTAAAATAAAAACCGTTTACCTATAACGTTATGTTTTACAATAATGAATGCCATAACACTTTCAAAATTTAATTCTCTGGTTTAGTCGTACAAAAATGATAAAACTTAATTCTCAATGGTTTTTAAAACCAACAAAAACTATCAGTTAATGTGCTGAATATTTAGTGGAGAAATAGCGAAATACAGATATACATATATGTTGCATTAACCTCCCTTTTTATCACCATTTTTTACGTTCAAGAGAGCGATAAACCTGCAGGGTGGGGGGGGGTCATGCACTTCCTAGGGTAATGAGAGACATTCAGGTATAATTCCCTAGGTGAAGAATCCCTCACCAGCACCAAGTCAATGATATCAACATATTTGTTAAAATTATTATTTGCATATTAATTTAAAATGCAAAAAAAGAAGCATATAATTTACTCGATATTTGTCTTAACTAATATTTGTCTTTATTTAATATTTATCTTTATTAATATTTATCTTTATTAATATTTATCTTTCTTTATTTAATGTTTATCTTTATTTTTAATTTAATGTGTGACATTCAATAAACTTTACTAAATGTCACAGATTGAATTAAAAACAAACTACAATTCTAGATTGTACATAATCTACAGGACATCACACTTTGTTAAGTAGTGGTCTCAATACCCCTGAAACACTCTAAAATCCCCCCCTTGTTTAGAACCCCTGCATTAGACATTATTGTAATCATGGAGAAGCGCTAAGCCCGTAGCGGTCATACAACACCTGGTGGATGAAATTTAATCAGATATGATTCAGAGATAGGGAGGCTAACTCCAGTTTCTTGGATCAAGAAATCTTCACCGCAATCAAGATTCTCCCTTTTCCCAGCCCCCCCACCCCCTTCCCCTGAAGTGATTAGTTAGACAAGCACATAGCTCAATGTGGTTACCTGTTCGACTCTGACAACCATGGTGAAGAGCTTGAACTTGCCGTCGAAGAGAGAGAACGCGTGAGTGACTTTGAGATCAGCGATGTGAGACTCAGGTGCTGCACGAACCTGCCACTCACCACTCCACCAGTGCTTGGCGAAGTCAAACAACTGTCACAAGCAAAATAAGGATTATATATATATACATAATGTATAAACGAAGCATGTAAGAAATGGATTATAGAAAGTGTGTATGCATCAAGTGTGCAGAAAATAAGCACTGATTTTGGGATGTGTTAAGGGAATGTTCAGGGAGTTTTGAGCCCTGCGAGAGAATTATTATTGAGGGGGACCTAAATATTAAAGAGGGTGAGAAGGATGTAGATGGCGTAGCAGGTAAGGATGGAATGCCATGGGATGAATGGAAATGCAGGACCCTTTTACGTACAATGGAGTTCGGTAATATATAATGCTTGTGTTGAGAAAAAGAGCATTAGTATATAAAATATGATATAAGGTAAAATCATAGCATTCTAATAGACTATTAGCAAACACAAGGGTAGACCTATGAATGTGCATGTTTTAGAGGAGCGACATATGTCAGATCACTGTTTAACAGTATCTACAATAAGAATAAGAGGAAGATGGAGTACAAAGAGGCTGGCAGTAGTGGATACCTGGAGTATACCTGGAGAAGGTTTCGGGGATCAACGCCCCCGTGGCCCGGTCTGTGACCGGAGACAGTTTCAAACGGATATAAGTAACTATTGGGGAAAAGGTAGGCTATACGAAGTCCATAAAATGAGGAGAGGTCGAGGATGTCTGGGGTAAATTTAAGAATGCATTGCTAAAATGTGAAGCAGTAGTAGTTACTGGGTATAGGAAGGTGGGTGTGGGTGGGAAGATGAATGGATGAGGGTGGTATAGGTGAAAAAATTACATATGAAATGTTTTAATAATGTAAAAATGATAGGCGGAAAGCAGAGTAAATGAAGAGGGAAGTTAAAAACAATAAGTGGCGAGGGAGCGCAAAAGGAGAGAATGGGTAGGTAAATCTTAGCAAATTTTGCTAGAAACTTGAAACAATTTTATAGACCATCTATAATGTGAGAGCGTGAACAGCACATGGAGTTAGAAGTTAAAAACGAAAGAAGAGAGATGTTAGACGGGAAAGTGGACGTACTGGAAAGATGGAGAATATATCGAAGAGATGTTGAATGTTTGTGATAAAGTGGAGGTAGTGATTTCATTCATTCGGTAGGGAGGGATAACATCGTATAGGAGTGAGCAGCAGCCTGAGGTGAATGTGGAGAAAGTAAGGCAATGATTAGAAAACACACAAGTATCAATAAAAAATCTTAGAACTTTTTAACTGGTTTTACCTTAAAGATAATATTCATTACAGTTACACAATACTACTGTAATTTGATTCACAATCATACGTGTGCATGTTTCTACTAATATTGGTGCTTCAATTCTAAACACTTTTCACTCGTGATTCACTGAACCACCAAGCACATGAAAAATACGTATGTGCAACACCTGGGTATCTATTGAGAGAAATTTCGCCCACCAGGTGAAGAATACGTATCTTACTCATCTGTCTGTCGGTATTACATACCTCTGATGGAAAGACATATTAAGGTCATCAGTGTACGACAGTGATCCTTACCTGACTGTTGGCAAAGATGTGTCTGAGGTCAGAACCTTTAAAGATGCTGGGCACGTGTAGGTGGCCGAGGTGAGCCAGGTCAGCACCGTTCTCAGGAATCTCCTGCCCACCAACAAAACATCAGTCTTCACTTACAATACTTAACTAAGCGAGTACAGCGTTTCTGTCTCCAGATTACCAGACGGGAGGATCGAGCCTCCAGCTACCCTTGCACTAAATGACCAATTTCACTTAAATAATTTAATCCACTTAAAACAATATGGATAATTTCATTACACGTCAGTAACAATGCTAAATGCTACACAGTTTACATTTTGCGTTAAACTCGTATGGGTCATACAGCACTAAGAGGTTGAGGCTATATCTTTACTACGGTAATACCCAGATAGATATGATTAACTGTACTTATGACTCACGAAATCGTAATAACACGATAAATATACCAAGTTGGATGAACCTTTTTGTAGCCAGCTGGCCCAGTGACTTTACGTACTGGCCTGTAGTTTTACGATTCACTCGCCATGGGTTCAACCCCCACCCGTTCCCTGGTTTGTTTAACTCTATTCGCTGAACGCCAGTCCTTGCGTTCAGTGACCCACACAGGTTGAGCCATTCACATAAATCAAAATTAACTAATAAGATTAGTGACCTGATGACCCCATAATGACTTCCAGTAGTCGACAGTCTCATAAAGGAATGAAAATTAATCATGTTTGATCCCAGAAAGTGGAGAATAGCTTCAGTTCCTTGGATCAAAAGACTATGATCATGGCGCCTCATCCCTCCACAATGTGTGTCATTTCCTTCTCTTAAGTTAATTATCTTGACCCAAAAATTTACTAACAGTTTTATTATCGTTTCTGTGTCGTGGGGGTTTGTCAGGAGCTGTTGGAGTAAGAAATACACACGCTGGATGTCTTGGAGGCGTATAATTAAGAGAGTCTTGAGGATAGCCCTGGCCTGCCCGTCGAGCAAGGAACTCCGTGACTGAGAGCGGGACCTCAGGTCTACCACTCACGTGTGAGGATCTCATGACGTCATAGCTAGCAAGGGAGTCTATCTATAAAGTAGCTGGGATTATACAAGTATACTACACAAGTACACAGTAACACTACCGACATCTGTTACTACTTGTAACACGCACTACTTTCTGTTACTAGTAACAATAACGCTACTACTGCATTCTTACACTAACACAATTATTTATACCAATAGGTTAATGATCAATATAGCACAAAATTTAACATACTGCGAGACAAAGTGAAAGGGAAAGGAGTGGGAAATATTGGAGGAAAACAAAAAGGGAAGCTATCTCACCTGTATATGTGCCAGGACGTGGTGTACAGTGCGGCCACGGTACTTCCAGGAGCAGCGGGTGATGTTCTCCACCTCCGGCAGGTGCCACTGCGGGGGTCGACCTTCAGCGTCGTGCCACACGAAGATGAAGCCATTCACTTCCCGGTTTTCCCAGTGCTTCACCCCAGCCGTCTTCGGCACTGCACGGAGACAACAAACAAATCTACACTTCCCCTCACCATGAGAAATTACCTCATTCCAAACCACTATTCCTTCTTTTTCCTCAAAAATCTTCATGCATCTCAGCCAATGCTTTGTCTTGAAGCCAAATACGATAATATTAATGAATTCAGAGACAACTCACTCACAAATATTCAAGAAATGTTAAAGTATTTTATCGGTAGTAGCATATTACTAACCATTCTAGAAAAAAAGCCCTGCCTTTGCCTTTGTAATAACATATAACCACTTAATTTCTTTAAATTCGAGCATACCTTGCTAAAATATAATATAAATAATTCATAACCAGATATAAACTACATTGTAATATTTTTGGGCTTAATTCATGTCTGCATAAGTAACTCGTGTAACTATAAACTATAAACATGTAAATAGTTCATTACCATTGGAAATAAGTCACTTTGACTTTTTTAGGTTATCTTAGATAATCTACACATGCTATATGTATGACAATCTATGTAACTGTATTTATGTGTACCAGTACCTGAATAAACTTACTTGCTAGCTATCAAATCTTTGCGGCCCAGTTCCTGGACCCATTATGTGCCTCTGTAATGTTTTGACTACGGCCAACAGGATGCATCATATATATATATATATATATATATATATATATATATATATATATATATATATATATATATATATATATATATATATATATTATAAAGTCGCCCGTCTCCCACCGAGGCACGGTAACCCAAAAAGAAAGAAAATCCCCAAAAAGAAAATACTTTCATCATTCAACACTTTCACCTCACTCACACATAATCACTGTTTTTGCAGAGGTGCTCAGAACACAACAGTTTAGAAGCATATACGTATAAAGATACACAACATATCCCTCCAAACTGCTAATATCCCGAACCCCTCCTTTAGAGTGCAGGCATTGTACTTCCCATTTCCAGGACTCAAGTCCGGCTATATAAAAATAACCGGTTTCCCTGAATCCCTTCACTAAATATTACCCTGCTCATACTCCAACAGATCGTCAAGTCCCAAATACCATTCGTCTCCATTCACTCCTATCGAACACGTTCATGCACGCCTGCTGGAAGTCCAAGCCCCTCGCCCACAAAACCTCCCTTACCCCCTCCTTCCAACCTTTTGGAGGACGACCCCTACCCCGCCTTCCTTCTCCTACAGATTTAAATGCTCTCCATGTCATTCTACTTTGATCCATTCTCTCTAAATGACCAAACCACCTCAACAACCCCTCTTCAGCCCTCTGACTAATACTTTTATTAATTCCACACCTTCTCCTAATTTCCACACTCCGAATTTTCTGCATAATATTTACACCACACATTGCCCTTGGACAGGACATCTCCACTGCCTCCAACCATCTCCTCGCTGCTGCATTCACAACCCAAGCTTCACACCCATATAAGGGTGTTGGTATTACTATACTTTCATACATTCCCTTCTTTGCCTGCATAGATAACGTTTTTTGACTCCACATATACCTCAACGCACCACTCACCTTTTTTCCTTCATCAATTCTATGATTAACCTCATCTTTCATAAATCCATCCGCCGACACGTCAACTTCCTAGTATCTGAAAACATTCACTTCTTCCATACTCCTCCTCTCCAATTTGATATCCAATTTTTCTTTATCTAAATCTTTTGATACCCTCATCACCTTACTCTTTTCTACGTCCACTTTCAACTTTCTACCTTTACACACACTCCCAAACTCATCCACTAACCTTTGTAATTTTTCTTTAGAATCTCCCATAAGCACAGTGTCATCAGCAAAATGTAACTGTGTCAATTCTCATTTTGTATTTGATTCCCCATAATTTAATCCCATCCCTCTCCCGAACACCCTAGCATTTACTTCTTTTACAACCCCATCTATAAATATATTAAACAACCATGGTGACATTACACATCCCTGTCTAAGACCTACTTTTACCGGGAAGTATTCTCCCTCTCTTCTACACACCCTATCCTGAGCCTCACTATCCTCATAAAAACTCTTTACGGCATTTAGTAACTTACCACCTATTCCATATACTTGCAACATTTGCCACATTGCTCCCCTATCCACTATATCATATGCCTTTTCTAAATCCATAAATGCAATAAAAACCTTTATCTAAATACTGTTCACATATATGCTTCAATGTAAACACTTGATCTACACATCCCCTACCCACTCTGAAACCTCATTGCTCATCCGCAATCCTACATTCTGTCTTTCCTCTAATTCTTTCAATAATAACCCTACCGACAGGTTTGTAAATGAATGGTTCAGAGAACCGACATGTTGATAAATTAGACACATGTGCAATTCTTGGGTATCGTTATTGAGGAAACATGTCGGTTCTCTGAACCATTCATCTACAAACCTGTCAGACACTGCAACTTCTTGGGATCTTAATACTTGGGAATTCTTCGCTTGCCTAATTCTTGGGCACGACCTACTTCAACATTGAACAAATGTGACACCACCTATGACTGCTGCACCTCTCCTGTCTACGGTTTATAAGCTCCTTCTCTGCACGTATGCCGTATTCAATTCAAGATTGATGGACTGACCACATCGACTCAAGGTTGAGGGACTGATTACCTCATTCTCCTCCTGCTCTTCAAGATTCTCCTTTGTATGGACTGATGAAGCCACTGTGTGGCGAAACGTTTCCTCAATAAAGATACCCAAGAGTTGCACATGTGTCTATAATTTTTAATTTCTCTTTTGTCTCCCTTCCCTTTATATAAAGGGACTATACATGCTCTCCGAATCCCTAGGTACCTTCCCCTTCTTTCATACATTTATTAAACAAAAGTAACAACCACTCCAACACTATATCCCCCCCTGCTTTTAACATTTCTGTCATGATCCCATCAGTTCCAGCTGCTTTACCCCCTTTCATTCTACGTAATGCCTCACGTACCTCCACCACACTTACATTCTGCTCTTCTTCATTCCTAAAAGATGGTATACCTCCCTAACCAGTGCATGAAATTACCGCCTCCCTTTCTTTCTCAACATTTAAAAGTTCCTCAAAACATTCTCGCCATCTACCTAATACCTCCATCTCTCCATCTACTAACTCCCCTACTCTGTTTTTAACTGACAAATCCATACTTTCCCTAGGCTTTCTTAACTTGTTTAACTCACTCCAAAATTTTTTCTTATCTTCATTAAAATTTCTTGACAGTGCCTCTCCCACTCTATCATCTGCTCTCCTTTTGCACTCTCTCACCACTCTCTTCACCTTTCTTTTACTCTCCATATACTCTGCTCTTCTTATAACACTTCTGCTTTGTAAAAACCTCTCATAAGCTATCTTTTTCTCTTTTATCACACCCTTTACTTCATCATTCCACCAATCACTCCTCTTTCCTCCTGCCCCCACCCTCCTATAACCACAAACTTCTGCCCCACATTCTAATACTGCATTTTTAAAACTCATCCAAGCCTCTTCAACCCCCCTCCCCACTACTCATCTTTGCACCAGCCCACCTTTCTGCCAATAGTCGCTTATATCTCACCTGAACTTCCTCCTCCCTTAGTTTATACATTTTCACTTCCCTCCTACTTGTTGTTGTCACCTTCCTCTTGTCCCATCTACCTCTCACTCTAACTGTAGCTACAACTAAATAATGATCCGATATATCAGTTGCCCCTCTATAAACATGTACATCCTGGAGCCTACCCATTAACCTTTTATCCACCAATACATAATCTAACAAACTACTTTCATTACGTGCTACATCATACCTTGTATATTTATCCTCTTTTTCATAAAATATGTATTACTTATTACCAAATCTCTTTCTACACATAGCTCAATTAAAGGCTCCCCATTTACATTTACCCCTGGCACCCCAAATTTACCTACTACTCCCTCCACAACATTTTTACCCACTTTAGCATTGAAATCCCCAACCACCATTACTCTCACGCTTGGTTCAAAACTCCCCACGCATTCACTCAACATTTCCCAGAATCTCTCTCTCTCCTCTACACTTCTCTTCTCCAGGTGCATATACACTTACTATAACCCACTTTTCACATCCAACCTTTATTTTACTCCACATAATCCTTGAATTAATACATTTATAGTCCCTCTTTTCCTGCCATATCTTATCCTTCAACATTATTGCTACTCCTTCTTTAGCTCTAACTCTATTTGAAACCCGTGACCTAATCCCATTTATTCCTCTCCACTGAAACTCTCCCACCCCCTTCAGCTTTGTTTCACTTAAAGCCAGGACATCCAGCTTCTTCTCATTCATAACATCCACTATCATCTCTTTCTTATCATTTGCACAACATCCATGCACATTCAGACTTCCCACTTCAACAATTTTCTTCTTATTCTTTTTAGTAATCTTTACAGGAAAAGGGGTTACTAGCTCATTGTTCCCGGCATTTTAGTGGGCTTTTACAACACGCATGGCTTACGGAGGAAAGATTCTTATTCCACTTCCCCATGGATATAAAAGGAAAAGTAATAAGACCAAGAACTATTAAGATAAAATCAAAGAAAACTCAGATGAGTGTGTATAAATAAACGTGTACATGTATGTGTAGTGTGACCTAAGTGTAAGTAGAAGTAGCAAGACGTACCTGTAATCTTGCATATTTATGAGACAGACAAAAGACACCAGCAATCCTACCATCATGTAAAACAATTACAGGCTTTTATTTTACATTCACTTGGCAGGACGGTAGCACCTCCCTGGGTATTTGCTGTCTACCAACTAACTTGTACAATTAACTCGCCATTAAGAGGGGGATTACTGTCTAGGTTAATCAGAGAAAGCCAAAAGCTGGATTACGAACGTTGTTCGGTTTTCATGTCTATGATATGGAGCAGTTGTGAGTTGTTGCAGCCATGGCACCTAGACTTATTCCTCCTAAAACTGTGACTTATTCTATAATTGTGACTTATTCCATAATTGTGACTTATTCGTTCTATAACTGCGACTTACCCTTTAATTGTGATATTCTTACGATCATTATGACTTATTCACGAAGGGCTGACTGACCTTTGGCAGCGTAGGGGATGTGGACACAGGCACCGTCCGAACCCCTGAAAAGCCAACCATGGAAGGGACACTCCAGACAGTCTCCCTTCACCACTCCGCCTACCGCCAGGTTGGCACCGATGTGAGGGCAGTAGGCATCGGTCACGTGGGCAGTGCCACCCTCGTCCCTGAACACTGCCAGTGTTTCCCCCAACATCTGCACCGACACCACCTGAAACACACACACACAACCAATATACATATATATACATAAAGCCAAGTATATAAATTGTTTGTGGGGGTGGTGTCTCCGGTCCTGCTGCCGCCACCTGCACTACGATAGTCATTACCGATTTCTTGCCCATTGGGCATTATCATTATCTAGTCTCGAAGCTGTGTATTGTGTCTCAAACATTTGCTTATCCAACTCATTCCAGGATGTAATTAGTGTGTACTCACCTAATTGTGGTTGCAGGGGTCGAGACTCAGCTTCTGGCCCCGTCTATTCACTGATCGCTACTAGGTCCTCTCTCTCTCTCTGCTTCCTGAGCTTTGTCATACCTCGTCTTAAAGCTATGTATGGTTCCTGCCTCCACTACATCACTCGCTAGGCTATTCCACTTCCTGACGACTGTGACTGAAGAAATACTTCCTAACATTGTGTGTGCGTGCGTGTGTGTGTGTGTGTGTGTGTGTGTGTGTGTGTGTGTGTGTGTGTGTGTGTGTGTGTGTGTGTGTGTGTGTGTGTGGTGTACCCACCTAGTTGTGATTGCAGGGGTCGAGTCAAAGCCCCTGGTCTCGCCTTTTCCTGCTCCATGAGCTTTATCATACCTCTTGAAAACATCGCCCAACGCGCGTGTGTGTGTGTACTCATCTAGTTGTTGTTGCAGGGGTCGAGTCATAGCTCCTGGCCCCGCCTCTTCACTGTTCGCTACTAGGTCACTCTCCCTGAACCTTGAGCTTTATCATACCTCTGCTTAAAGCTATGTATGGATCCTGCCTCCACTACATCGCTTCCCAAACTATTCCACTTCCTGACTACTCCGTGACTGAAGAAATACTTCCTAACATCCCTGTGATTCATCTGTGTCTTCAACTTCCAACTGTGTCCCCTTGTTGGTGTGCCCCATCTCTGGAGCATTGTCTCTGTCCACCTTGTCAATTCGTCTCAGTATTTTATATGACGTTATCATGTCTCCCCTATCTTTCCTGCCCTCCAATGTCGCCAGGTCGATTTCCCTTGACTTCTCCTCATTGGGCAGACCCCTTAGCTCTGGGACTAGTCTTGTTGCAAACCTTTGTACTTTCTCTAGTTTCTTTACGTGCTTGGCTACATGTGGGCTTCAAATTGGTGCCGCATACTCCAATATGGGCCTAACGTACACAGTATACAGGGTCCTGAACGATTCCTTATTAAGATGGCGGAATGCTGTTCTGAGGTTTGCTAGGCGCCTATATGCTGCAGCAGTTATTTGGTTGATGTGCGCTTCAGGAGATGTGCCTGGTGTTATACTCACCCCAAGATCTTTTTCCTTGAGTGAGGTTTGTAGTCTCTGGCGCCCTAGACTGTACTCCGTCTGCGGTCTTCTTTGCCCTTCCCCAATCTTCATGACTTTGCACTTGGTGGGGTTGAACTCCAGGAGCCAATTGCTGCACCAGGTCTGCAGCTTGTCTAGATCCCTTTGTAGTTCTGCCTGGCCTTCGATCGAATGAATTCTTCTCATCAACTTCACGTCATCTGCAAACAGGGACACTTCGGAGTCTGTGTGTGTGTGTGTGTGTGTGTGTGTGTGTGTGTGTGTGTGTGTGTGTGTGTATGTGTGTGTGTATGTGTGTGTGTGTGTGTGTGTGTGTGTGTGTGTGTGTGTATGTGTGTGTGTGTGTGTGTGTGTGTGTGTATGTGTGTGTGTGTGTATGTGTGTGTGTGTGTGTATGTGTGTGTGTGTGTGTGTGTGTATGTGTGTGTGTGTGTATGTGTGTGTGTGTGTGTGTGTGTGTGTGTGTGTGTGTGTGTGTGTGTGTGTGTGTGTGTGTGTGTGTGTGTGTGTGTGTGTGTGTTTAACCACAACTTGCCGAATAAGCGTTTTCGACGAGTATGGTTTTGCCAAGTTGTAACTCCTAAAAATAATACATTTCTTTGATAATAAATAATAATAACTAAATTTATGTTGGTATTTGGATACAACAGTATCAGCCATTTTATCAAAATTACATGTTTGACACTTGTTAGTTTCGGAACACTTAACAAAATTACATGTTTGACACTTGTTAGTTTCGGAACACTTAACAAAATTACATGTTTGACACTTGTTAGTTTCGGAACACTTAACAAAATTACATGTTTGACACTTGTTAGTTTCGGAACACTTAACAAAATTACATGTTTGACACTTGTTAGTTTCGGAACACTTAACAAAATTACATGTTTGACACTTGTTAGTTTCGGAACACTTAACAAAAACTGCACACTATGTTTATTCTCTTGAATTTATTTTTCAATCCACAAGTTTCGGCAAATAAACTAAATTGTAACAACTTTCTTGTTTGTGTACTCCGACATTGCAATAAAAAACAAAAAACGTGTAGTTCAACAATGCGGAAATAAGAACACTTATAAAGAATAACTAAGAGAGCAGTGGTGTACTAGCACATTATCCAGGGATACAATGCAGACAATGGAGAGGAGGTAGAATATATGCATGTATTGGGAGGTACCTGCCACTGTAAGGGTTACGTGTAGACGTAGTAGAAACATGTAGGTATGTAGGCTGAGTTAAGTCTGTGACATGCCACTATCTTGATATATAATCTACCTCTTACCCATTGTCTCAACTCTTTCTTATTAATGTGTTAATACACGAAAGTATTCGCATATTATATTTTCCCCTATTTAACTATGACTGGTGTCGAGGGCTCCTCTACCTCCACAGCCGGGCCTGAGGCCAGTCTTTCCTGCTGACCATCTGGTTAACCAGGCTATTTGTGCTTGTAGCCCGCACGCCCACGTTGACATCATAACCCGGCTCACCTTCCTCATACTTCTTGAAAACTTCAATCTTCGTTTCATCAATATTTCTGATGTATGTTGGTAGTATGTAGAGTCTTGGGCCACCGTTGTTGATACACTGTTCTCTAAATATACCCATGGCTCCTGTTCTTATCGTTCATTCCAGTAAAATATTATAGCAATGTGCTGGTCAGGGATGAGGTCCTCAAGTACCTCCCATGTACATACAGTATTATCAGGTATCTTATTCATTTTTTCCTTCAACCATGGAGATTCACTACATTTCTCAGCCTTCCCTATTAGTCTTTGCAAGCTTCATCCCAGTCATCATCAAGGATTACATCTCTGTAAGGATTTTTGCAGTCTTCTCCATATTAGTCTGTATACGGAGGCAAACGTCTCTCTGGGAACTGCGTTGATCTCGCAATATCTTTACTATTTTAATCTGTTTTCCTGACCTTCACGATCCTTCTACGTACAGAACAATTCATTTAATCGTCGCCCCTCTTTATTACACCTCTTTAATCTTTATACTCGCTCTCCAATCCCTCAGTTTCCGTTGATTCAAGTTTATCCCTTTCCTCTCCATCTCTTAGCTATGCCTACAACCTTGTAGGTAGTAAAACAGCAACCATCTAGGGAGGTACTTCTGACCTGTCCAATCACTGTGAAATAGAAACTTGTTTAATTTTTTTTTTTTTGCCCTCTGGCAGCAATGCTGATATTTTGTTACGCGAACACGTAAGATGACAGGTAAACATTACAAACTTCTACTTGCTTTCAGCAGTGTACAAATCTTTACTTTTCTGTGTGCTTTGTAAAAGTTTTCAATGCAGTAGTATTCCCTCTCTCTCTCTCCTAGAAGGTCTGGTCTGAAACCAGATTACTAAGAAGATAATCCTCAGAACCATTAACAAATAACCTCTATATACAAGCTCTCACCTGTCACTTCATCTCGTTGTATAATAATGCAAAAGGTCATACATATTCCATCAAGCAGTTTTAAAACCTGTTACATGTAGAACGAGACCAAAAATTCCACTACTTGTCAGGTGAATGGCATGCTAGTGATAGTAAAGTGGTAAAGGCAGCAAGGTGTACCTGACTTCTGGCGAGCTGTCTCGACTCCATGACGGCGAACCAACCGTTGGGGTAGACAGGAGGTAGGTTGCCAGTCTTCCTCAGTCTCTGCACCTCTCTTATCTTCTCAGCCAGGGACGCCTTGCCCTCTCCTCCCAGGCAACCCCAGCCAACATCAGTCATATCCTGTCAACACATCCATTTAGTAAAGTGAAATGGATTAGTTAGTAAATTCCCTACTAGAAATTATTTTTTAGTGAGAGATTCTAGTACCAATAAAATCAACAAACTACGCTAAAATTATCTCTAGATATTGTTATAAACGCATCAATGACTATTAACTTATAACATTTAAAACAAATGTTAAACATACCAAAGATATTTTTGTAAAAATAAACGACCAACATGACTGACAAAATTTGAAAATGAGCTGAAAAATGATGTTACAAGGTGGAAGGTACACCACGCTTGTTGACTCCCAGTACTGAACGTTGGTACACCGGACGCATCGTGGCCGCAAATGGCTCGGTCTACTATATCGGCTTAAGCGTCATTCAAAGACTGACTGCGAAAGTGTGCAAATTTTCGAAAGTACTTCATAAATAATGGTTTGACGCGGGCGACCGAGAGAGCGGTTCGTAAAGGCTCGTGCATATAGCACGTGAACATAGCGCGGGTGAGCATGTGAGCCTTGCAAGTGTTGCGTTTTCAGTGGTCACGAGACCCAGCAGAAGCAAAGTTGTCATTGTATTGATCACAACAATGGAGACGAAGCTGGGTCACCAGTTTCTCACAACGACCATTTTTATATAAACACTAGAAATCGATCACCAAAAGATGACCCGCGAGAGTCCCTCAAAATAATATAATTATTTATGTGCTTTACTGAGTTCCCTGTTGATCATGAAAGTAATCTACGTAACGACACTGGCACATTCTCACTAGCTTTGGCTTGAAAGGTAAGAAGAGAAGAGGAATGAAAGGAGTAATGCTACGTAACTGGTTGCTAAATGACACTACAGTTGTGTTAATATATTACTAGATGGTACTAGTACTAAAAGACAGCACTCAACAAAGAAGCAGAATGATATAAGCTCGTTCACTTTCAATAACAAAAATTTACTCATGGGCTATGTCAATTTCAACATTTTGCTTTAACTACAGACACGACAACATTACATACAACAATTATAATAATTGTATACAAGTTGGTGAATTAAATACTTAAGCAATACTTTATTTCCTCTGTATTCAACTGAAGAAGCCAACTTTGTAGGTGAAATGATAAGGAAATAAAGATAAAAAAATGTCTTATCAAATTTAAAATCGCAAAATAAGTTCCCCATAAACTTCTCAGCATTAACCCAAAAGCCATGAAAATAGGAAATTTATCTGTTCTAATCTAACATAACAAAACTTGTTGCCAAGTAAAAGAGTGACTACACTGGCATTTCTAACTACCCAGTGTATGTGTAGCTGAATAACAGCGCAGAAGACGTGAAACTCCACAGATACGATCTCATGACGGAGAGAAAGAATACAGGATGGAGAAAGTGGCAGGGCGAGTGTATGCATAAATTTGTTGTGAGTGAGCATGTAGTCAGTAATACACCTGGGAGCTTCCATTCTCCCTCCCTGATCGACTGTGACATCGGGTAACAGAACAAGTGAGAAAGGATAAGTCAGAGAGAGAGATGGGGAAGAGACCTACCTGCAAAATTTGGCTAGCAGTTACCAACAGAATCTCTCAAGCACACATGAAAAATAGTAAATACAAATCAACATAAGAATACCCAAATTATGATAAACTAAAAACTACCACCACGAACAAAGATATTTTGAAGACGGTACCACTTGTGGCTACCAGAACTAAGGCACTACCTGCGGCTACCAGAACTAAGGCACTACCTGCGGCTACCAGAACTAAGGCTACTAGAATTAAGGCACTGACACATAACGGAGAACAGAACCACAATATAAGAAGCAAAACAATTCTCAGTTCAAATAATACCCAGAATCCAATACAAACTTAACAAACTCTCAGATATTGCCACTTGAGGTACGGCATACATTTATCACAAGGACGGGGGGCGGTTCTAACAAAATATGGGATAGATACGGCAAGAAACTGAAACCGAGGACTGACTATTCAACAGGATTCTTTTAAGTGTTTGGTTCCATCCCTGGTACTGGTAGAAACATTGGGCATGTTTCCTTAAGACACCTGCTGTCTCTGTTCACTTAGCAGTAAATAGGTACCTGGGTGTGAGCAGACTGGTGTGGGTCACATCCTGGTGACAAAATTTACCTAATTTGCCCGAAATGCTCTGAATAACAAGGGGGTTTCTATATAGTATGTCACTTATGTCAGCTAGGTCTGTGTAAGTTGTATCATGTACTTGTAGAAATAAAGATATTATTTTTTTTTTTTTTTTTTTTTTTTATTATCACACCGGCCGATTCCCACCAAGGCAGGGTGGCCCGAAAAAGAAAAGCTTTCACCATCATTCACTCCATCACTGTCTTGCCAGAAGGGTGCTTTACACTACAGTTTTTAAACTGCAACATTAACACCCCTCCTTCAGAGTGCAGGCACTGTACTTCCCATCTCCAGGACTCAAGTCCGGCCTGCCGGTTTCCCTGAATCCCTTCATAAATGTTACTTTGCTCACACTCCAACAGCACGTCAAGTATTAAAAACCATTTGTCTCCATTCACTCCTATCAAACACGCTCACGCATGCCTGCTGGAAGTCCAAGCCCCTCGCACACAAAACCTCCTTTACCCCCTCCCTCCAACCCTTCCTAGGCCGACCCCTACCCCGCCTTCCTTCCACTACAGACTGATACACTCTTGAAGTCATTCTGTTTCGCTCCATTCTCTCTACATGTCCGAACCACCTCAACAACCCTTCCTCAGCCCTCTGGACAACAGTTTTGGTAATCCCGCACCTCCTCCTAACTTCCAAACTACGAATTCTCTGCATTATATTCACACCACACATTGCCCTCAGACATGACATCTCCACTGCCTCCAGCCTTCTCCTCGCTGCAACATTCATCACCCACGCTTCACACCCATATAAGAGCGTTGGTAAAACTATACTCTCATACATTCCCCTCTTTGCCTCCAAGGACAAAGTTCTTTGTCTCCACAGACTCCTAAGTGCACCACTCACTCTTTTTCCCTCATCAATTCTATGATTCACCTCATCTTTCATAGACCCATCCGCTGACACGTCCACTCCCAAATATCTGAATACGTTCACCTCCTCCATACTCTCTCCCTCCAATCTGATATTCAATCTTTCATCACCTAATCTTTTTGTTATCCTCATAACCTTACTCTTTCCTGTATTCACCTTTAATTTTCTTCTTTTGCACACCCTACCAAATTCATCCACCAATCTCTGCAACTTCTCTTCAGAATCTCCCAAGAGCACAGTGTCATCAGCAAAGAGCAGCTGTGACAACTCCCACTTTGTGTGTGATTCTTTATCTTTTAACTCCACGCCTCTTGCCAAGACCCTCGCATTTACTTCTCTTACAACCCCATCTATAAATATATTAAACAACCACGGTGACATCACACATCCTTGTCTAAGGCCTACTTTTACTGGGAAAAAATTTCCCTCTTTCCTACATACTCTAACTTGAGCCTCACTATCCTCGTAAAAACTCTTCACTGCTTTCAGTAACCTACCTCCTACACCATACACTTGCAACATCTGCCACATTGCCCCCCTATCCACCCTGTCATACGCCTTTTCCAAATCCATAAATGCCACAAAGACCTCTTTAGCCTTATCTAAATACTGTTCACTTATATGTTTCACTGTAAACACCTGGTCCACACACCCCCTACCTTTCCTAAAGCCTCCTTGTTCATCTGCTATCCTATTCTCCGTCTTACTCTTAATTCTTTCAATTATAACTCTACCATACACTTTACCAGGTACACTCAACAGACTTATCCCCCTATAATTTTTGCACTCTCTTTTATCCCCTTTGCCTTTATACAAAGGAACTATGCATGCTCTCTGCCAATCCCTAGGTACCTTACCCTCTTCCATACATTTATTAAATAATTGCACCAACCACTCCAAAACTACATCCCCACCTGCTTTTAACATTTCTATCTTTATCCCATCAATCCCGGCTGCCTTACCCCCTTTCATTTTACCTACTGCCTCACGAACTTCCCCCACACTCACAACTGGCTCTTCCTCACTCCTACAAGATGTTATTCCTCCTTGCCCTATACACGAAATCACAGCTTCCCTATCTTCATCAACATTTAACAATTCCTCAAAATATTCCTTCCATCTTCCCAATACCTCTAACTCTCCATTTAATAACTCTCCTCTCCTATTTTTAACAGACAAATCCATTTGTTCTCTAGGCTTTCTTAACTTGTTAATCTCACTCCAAAACTTTTTCTTATTTTCAACAAAATTTGTTGATAACATCTCACCCACTCTCTCATTTGCTCTCTTTTTACATTGCTTCACCACTCTCTTAACTTCTCTCTTTTTCTCCATATACTCTTCCCTCCTTGCATCACTTCTACTTTGTAAAAACTTCTCATATGCTAACTTTTTCTCCCTTACTACTCTCTTTACATCATCATTCCACCAATCGCTCCTCTTCCCTCCTGCACCCACTTTCCTGTAACCACAAACTTCTGCTGAACACTCTAACACTACATTTTTAAACCTACCCCATACCTCTTCGACCCCATTGCCTATGCTCTCATTAGCCCATCTATCCTCCAATAGCTGTTTATATCTTACCCTAACTGCCTCCTCTTTTAGTTTATAAACCTTTACCTCTCTCTTCCCTGATGCTTCTATTCTCCTTGTATCCCATCTACCTTTTACTCTCAGTGTAGCTACAACTAGAAAGTGATCTGATATATCTGTGGCCCCTCTATAAACATGTACATCCTGAAGTCTACTCAACAGTCTTTTATCTACCAATACATAATCCAACAAACTACTGTCATTTCGCCCTACATCATATCGTGTATACTTATTTATCCTCTTTTTCTTAAAATATGTATTACCTATAACTAAACCCCTTTCTATACAAAGTTCAATCAAAGGGCTCCCATTATCATTTACACCTGGCACCCCAAACTTACCTACCACACCCTCTCTAAAAGTTTCTCCTACTTTAGCATTCAAG